GTTTACAAAGTTAGGTACTATCAACTGCACTAGTATGATAACTAAGCTCTCAGATAGTTGTTCGACAAACAAAAATTTAAAATTAAATCTTCAGAGCCTATTATTAAAATTAACATTATTTACACGAATATTTTTAGATTGCCATTGGTAATATAAACAGGTTGCTCGGATTCGTTAACCCCACGAATTTCTGATAATTTTGAATCACCCAAAGCAATGGTACTTATTTTTCACTTGCCAATCATCAATCATCACTATAACTGGTTAAGCATAATGGTTTCAGGTTATCGTCATAAAGCATTGTCGTGACTTGGCAATCATGCAGTATGACTCATAAAATTAATGGAAATATTAACAACATTGGTCAACAAATTGACTTATGATTATCATTAAATAGTGCTGCCTTCCTTTTGTCTTCATTCACTATGGGTGATTACAGTATGTTTCTCTATCAGTTGCTCATTCAGTAAATATCTCAAAACCTTGTCAGCTTAATTGGAGGTTCAGCGACAGATTCATGCATGCAAATAATCAGTATAAGCATTCGAGCAAATCTCCTGCAAACTGAAAACATCAACGTCGAATTTACCCCAACACTGACTAAGGTTCAAGCCATTATCATAGACATGAGTTGGGAGTGTACTCCCCTTGGTTACAACTTATGTTCTTACTGATAATCACATGAGCATCATTCACTGTTAATTATCTTGCAAAATCTTATTTAGCCAAATACATCTTGCAGCACCACATCACCTAATATCATAGTAGACCATAATTCTACAACCTCTCTGTAATGGAAAGAGAACGAGGAAATTCCCTCCACAGTCTTTTTTGTTGGACAGTATTTTCATTTATTTGTTTCTCCTCCCTGTCATATATTTTAACCTTTGTTCAGATCTCGTTTGAGCTTTTATGATGTGAGTTTGATTAAAAACTAATCTTTTTGTTACCTAATTTTTTATTGCATCTTTCTGGACTATTGACAGTGAGATCGTGTTTACTAAGCTCAACGTCACGGCATGATTCCGTGTGACTGTTAACCTTTTGACTGTCTGCTTGAGAGGATTCCTGAAATCCCTGCAGATAGATTCTTGATCACCTTTGTTGGGAATATATTTGTTGATTCTCAGGTATCAAATCCTTTGGTATTGACTGTTTCTTTTATTGTTTAGCGCACCACATTGCGTTAGAGAAACTTCTGACTGTATAGCACAGGTTGTACCGTTTGAGACATTTTGTATTGCTGATATAATTTGTTCTATTTCTTAAATTAGAACCGTATAAATTGAGCACAGTGTTTGTGTTATGATATAATTTAAAACGAGTGTCTCAAAAACGCTTAGTGGTCTATACCGAAGAGCGTAGTCTGGCCTATTTGAGTACGTTTTAGTTCGTCAGTCCTGCGTTCATCCCGAATACTGGTAGTTCGGTCGTTCACGCTCTATCTCGAAATGTCATCAAATGGTCATGCGTACACAGCAAGGAAAGTCCAACATACTGCCCTCTAGCGGCATTACTGCTGTTTACGAAATTGAGAAGATGAAAACCGAATGTCCAGCGCTTTAATTTCGTCGGCGGACACGAAGGGTTAGTCTGCAGGAGTCAGGATCCTTGATTCCAAATTATTAGTGCTCAAGAGCTGAAAGGTTATCAATACATAGAGAAGTGACTGATCAACAAATAGATAGGAAATCTACGTTTCAAATTAGCATTCCAACCTTTCCGTATAGCATTAATTATACATCCAAAGTATTTACGAGTTTCTCTAATCAGATCTGGACGTTTCACTGGTAAAGGTTGCACTAACAAACAGTCTGAAGTATTTACAGGTTTATCTTGTAATGACTGTCGAGAAATGTAGTCAACATGTTGAATTTGTTTGGCACTCCTGTGTTGAACCGTATAGTCATAGGCACTCAAAGCAATACTCCATCGTTGAACCGTAGCAGCTGAGGAACGTGCTAAGGATTTTTCAGGATGATAAATAAACTTTAAAGCCTCATGATCAGTAACAATAGTGAATTTCTTTCCGAATAAATATTTATGGAGCCTTTTAACAGCCCAATACACAGCTAATGCTTCTCGCTGAGTCTGTGAATAACCTTGTTCAGTAACAGTAAGTTTGCGTGAAACACAAATAACTGGTCTACCCTCCTGTTCCAAAACTGCGCCAATACCCACAGGTGATGCATCAGTGATAAGCACAGACTGTACACTAGGGGAGTAAGTTCGAAGAACAGCATCACTTTGAAGAAACTTTAGTAGACTACGTAAGCATGACTCTTGTTCCTCACCCCATTTAAATGTATTGGATGTCAAAATATTAAATAAACAATTTGCACGAAAAGAAAAATTAGGAATAAAACGGGAATAGTATTGAAGAGCACCCACTAGTGAACGTAGTTCCGTAAGGTTTTTTGGAGACGGTGCATTTGTCAGTGGAGCTAGTCGTTTCATATCTGGTCTAAAACCATTACCATCAACAAGGTATCCAAGACATTCGAAATTAGATACACAAAATGAACACTTATTTGGATTCACTGTAATATTCTTCTCAATTAAACGACGCAATAAAGCAATAAGTCTCTGGTTATGAACTACCTTATCAGAACCATGGACAATGAGATCATCTTGATAAACTTCAACGCCCTCAAGATCACTAACTACATTATTCATGACTTCCTGAAATATAGCTGGAGAACAGCTTAGACCAAATGGAAGGAAATTGTATTTGAACAGACCAAAAGGAGTATTAATTGTCGTCAAAAGAGATGAAGATTGATCTAAAGGGATTTGGAGATAAGCATCTTTTAGGTCAACTTTCGAGAACACTTTAGAACCATGAAGTCGATTTAGAATATCTTCAGCCTCGACCGTCGTGCACGTTTGCTTCAACAAACGGGAATTCAGTGTTAATCTATAATCACCACATATTCTAGGGGTTTTGCCATCCGACTTCAGTGGCGTAACAATAGGAGTACCCCATGCTGAGGACTGGATCGGTTCAATTATGCCTTTCGCACACAAATCGTTTAATGTTTTATGTACTGCCTCTCGAAGACCATAAGGAATTATTCGTCTTTTAAGAAATACTGGTTCACCCTGTACTTGAAGTTTTATAGGCTGAATCTTCATACCTCCACTGCACTTAGCACACGTGGCTATCAAATCTTTGAGTAAAGCATCATTGTTTTCTTTAGAAACTAGGAAAGACAGCTCCACTTTAAGCCTTTTCAAATTCCTTAAGCCCAATATTGACAGTCCTGTTTCGCTAACTAAAAATTCACAAGGTATGTACGAAGAATTATCATCTCTTATTAGCAACTCACAACATCCTCGTATAGGCAGTCTGTGTCCAGTAATCCCCAATATTGATACCTCAGTGGGTCGTACCACAACATTAGGATCTAAAGATTTCAAGTTCTTGAATGAAATAATGGACTCTGTAGTGCCTGTGTCAACAATAAAGTCATGACATGAACCAAGCGATGTATATAATCGCTTTTGAATATGAGCATTACCTTTCGAAACAGTAGACAAAGATAAGTGATCATTAGGAACAGGTGAATCACCGGGATCTAAATTACAAGATTTAGTACTACTTGAGGCAAAATGAATAGTAGCTTTGCATACTGATTGAATGTGTCCTATCTTACCACATCTAAAACATTTAGCATTACGAAATGCACATGAATTACGAGAATGAATTTTTCCACATGATAAACATTTGCCAAACTTGGTCTCACCTTTGTGATTTCCTTTGTAATTCCTTGTTGAGATATCTTTCATATTTACACGAGAATAGGAACCACTGTTAAACGAACGCAATTTAGATTGACCCTGAGATTGTATTTCATCATGACGACTAAGCAAAGTATTAGAAATATTCATCGACTGGATATCAAGTTCATTCACTGCCTCGTAGTTAATACACGCAGTTCTAGCATCTTGAAAGGAACAGTTCGGCATTCTTAACAGCTCTCTTTCCAAACCCGGCAAGTTAATTCCTGCAATTAATCGATCTCTCAGTTGCACATGAAGTTGATCACCAAAATTACATTTGGCAGCTTGTTTCTGCAATTCAAGAATGAATTCCTTAACCTTTTGGTCATTTCGACGAGTCATCTTATAAAATTTTGCCCTTTCACGGCATTCAAAACTAGTGCACTTTACATGATTTAATAATAACTCCTTAATAGTTGCATAAGGAAGTGAGATAAGTTTTTCTGGATATGCCAAGGTTTTCAATAAGCTGTATGCTTCTTTTCCGATGAATGTCAGGAAATAAGCCACAATTTTATCACCTTTAACATCCTTCTTGGTCATGCTCCAAATTTCAAACCTTTCGAAATAGTCCTCAAAAGCTTCAGAAGTTGAATGAATATCTAACTGTTCCATCGCAGGCTCCATCGCGACGCCAATATGATAATTAGAAGTAATTGAATTATAGTATGAACTAAGAATCCCAGGGATAACGCAATTGAATCAAGAAGTACTGCACAAGCACTAACGAATGTACTGTATTTAGAATTCGAAATCAAACATTCAACAAGTACAAAGGAGTCATTAGTTCATTCAAACACCACAGGTTAATGACATTGTAAAATGCTTGTAAAGCTTTTTATTTCGGAGAAACACTTAAATATGCAGCTTGTCGGAAAATCAGCCACTTTATTAACAATTAACAGAAAAGTACACTGTATAATATGTTTAAGTGATAACGAAGCGAAAAATATGATTTATGAATATTTAAGAAAGTGAAAAGGTATAAACAAACTATTAAATCAGGCGAAAACTAATAAAAATATTGGGAAGGTGAACATTATGGAAACTTGCGAAAGATATAATTTCTCAAAGTACAACGAGCTAGTTGATATTTGGAAAAAACTTATTATGAACTTTCTTAAAAGAATAACAAAGTTTTTTCTGAAAAAGAAATCATATTCATCTTATCGTCTCAAAATGTTGTTTTATTTCACCAGTTTTGTATCTAATGTAATTGAAAGGATTTGTACACTTTTTAAATTTTAAAGTTATGCACCATTGGCAACATAGTAGGGTAGGAACGACTTTGGATCTGCAATTATTAGTTGGTTTGCTTCATTAATACATTTGGTTGGTCAGTTACCGTTGGTTAGATGTTAATTGAGCTCAGAATATACGCACATCTCTTCAGCGGATTAACTCCAACGGAAATTCCAGTCAACGGATCGAGTTGCTCATTACAGTTGTGATACAGTTGAAATCATATCCCTTTTCCAGGTGTATACTAAGAGATCGTCTTACGTAAAAGCTTGTAAGTTGGCAACTGATTATTAATTAGTCGATTTTTATTATTGGTCTCATATCATTTAACAAGCTATAATTCAGCTCCTAAACTGAATTATTAATATTGTCTTGCAGAATTAACGGAAAACGTTTTTTCATGGAATTTAAGTTTAGTTAGTGTGAGGGAGCTGTAGTATACAAAGACCTAGGTCTTTGTGTATTAGATTTGTTGGTGACTAACACTTTTATCTTGTTATTTGCTTTTTAAATATGTCAGAGAATCTACAGGCCAAACAAAACGTTATCCCTGACTCAAAAACATAATACTTTATTATGGTAGATGTGAACCTACGAACCATGTAGTATGTGTTTTTAATGTCGCGAAAATTGTATCTGTGTAAGTTTGCCCCATTTCATTACGATAAAGTATGAATTTTCGTCATCATATAGTTAAGCTTTTAAATCAGAGCACAACCTACATGTATTTGTTGATCATAAGTAGTGGTTTGATCAGGGACGTGCCAATTAGTAAATGAAAGAGTAACATGAATATATATAACATAAGGATGCGCACATCTATAAAATTCTAATGTGTTCTCACTAAGATACTAGTACGCATTATAAACTAATAAAAATACCGTTTACTTACTCAGTCTGAGACGTTTGAAAAATCATTTCTCCTGTTAAATGATTACAGGTCTACATGGTTTTTTTTGCACTGTGATCAGAAATCACTATTCTTATGCCACCAAACGTTTCCAAATCACCAAAGCATTGTAGAACTTTGTTCTTTTACTTCCAAATATGGAATCTTTATTCACAGTATGGTTCCAGTGAAGCGGCTTGTATGATCTTCACGAAAAGTGTGTAGTTACTTTTCCGAAGTTACTCAGACTGTGTGTTTGATTCAGAATCAGACGGCATTTTCCTAGATTTTGATATTCAAAGCTATGTTTCCCAGAGTAGTATTAAATAAACTCATGTTTTCAACTTCTAAGTATAATTTTAAACAATTCACAAGGATATATAAAACCAGAACAACAACAGCCAATGCATACAAGGCGGGATCGTGTGACTGCAGTGACTAGTAATACAAGGAGCATTCTTACTTTCTGAAGTCCGTTACTCGTTTTTGGAACAGATCGCCGCCCAATAATCTACGACTATTTTTCCTGGGTTCTACTTCCCAGTTGTCTCGAAGGACGATTTATATTCGTGGTGTCTTCTAGCAACCTCCGTTGCCATTTGTTTTATGTTCTGCCTCTTTTCCTTTACCTTGAAAATTCCAAGTTAAGGTTTGCTTGGTGAAGCATTTTAATGACCTCCGCAAAGTCTTCTAGCAACTTTCAGCGTTTTTTAAACTTGTTTACTAACTGGCAAGTAATATGTTCTCTACCACATTTGATTATCTCTGATAACCTTTGAATGATGGATGTAAAAATTCTTGAGAATAAATTTTTTTGTAAATACCATTGCTTTTTTGGTAATGGTTGTCTTAGTTCCCCACATTTCAGCTGCGTGCAGTAGAACCGTTTCAACTTTTGTGTCGAAAATTCTAAGTTCGATGACAGTTCGTTTGAGTGTCAGATATTTTTTAATTGTGGCAATGTTGCCCTTGCTTTGTCAATTTGTGCTTTGACATTTGCATCAAGATCTTGTTTATCAATAATGCTATCCCAAGTACGTAAAGTGTTCCATCACTTCTAAAGCTTCTCTATGAAGTTTGTGTGAAGTTTGTTGTGTTGTACTTCAGGATGTTGCTTTTTCCCGTCTGAATGTAGAGAACTACTTTCTCAAGAGCTGATGTTACGCTAGATATCTTCGTCTGCGTTTGTTGCCATGTCCGCTGTATTCCATGCTTCTCTCGAGGTATGCAGATCTTTGTAATTTAGTCAACAACCAGAAGCAAGAAAAGAGACTAGAGTGGGAAACCTTATCTAACATCATTCTTTACCTAAAATGGATTTGTGAGCTACTCTCAATGAGTGAATTTGCAATTCACGTCTTCGTAGAAGTTCTGTATGATGATTATGGGGATTTTTGCAGGTACTCTGTAGTGTCGAGGCAGACTCCACAAGATGTTTCTATCCACAATGTTGAGTGATTTTTCATAATCAAAGAAGTTGATAGAGTGTTGGGTTTCATTGAGTTGATTGTTCGGAGGTGATTCACATTGGATTGGTACGTGATCAGTCCTTACGTAAGGCAACTTATTGATCTTTATTCAAGCAAAGGGACTAACTTTTATCTCAAAACCGTGTACAGGTATGCTTGCTTGGTTCATTGATTTCTGACTTTGTGTAGATTATTTCATACCAATAGAGCAGTTAAACCATACACCTGAAAGCCATGATTAATAATACAAAAGCCAATAGCTTTAAGTCACGTCGTCACACATTTGCTTAGTATTGATTGTAGTGGTGTTTTTCCCAAAAAATAAAAAATCTTGATGTGCTTATAACATCCAGTCCATGTATTTAATATTTAAACATTGCATCATTATCAAACCGTTTAATTTGTGTATGTTAAAAATCAAACTTTAAATAGAATTTTGAGCAAGCGAGTAATGGCACAAACTATTGAATCAACTGTTCAAGCTAATACCTCGGAAATATTGAGAAAAAATAAAGGTAGAAAGAGTTCAAAAGTAAACAACAGCGATATAGGCCCTATCCTGGAGACCTTAGGAGACGATATAACAATAGCATCGGAAATAGAAAACGTGAATAAAAAAAGAAACGGCCTAGTGACTGGAGCAAAAAAGATACCATTTATGGATAACCGCGGTAAGTAAGCTTTACCATAAATTATGAATTAGATTATTACACACTATAAATGTGAGTATAAATGCAGTATTACAATATAATTCGAGGAAGAAATCACATTTGAATTATATCACTCCATGAAAATCTGTTTACCATATCTTAAAGACGTATAATGGTTAAGGAATCGTGAAGGACAAAGGTTGTTACAATTGAGACATTCTTCTGACTATTTGAATTGTATAGATTTTGTGATTTTGATCGTAACGATGGAGATCCCCATATTTAGATATGTCTTATAAGTGAATGTTTGAAGTGGTTTTATCACTCAGGTCGTATATCTCATATCAGTGAATTGAGAATTTCAGTCACACTAACGATTTATATCAATTTCCGATAATACTCAAGTAACTACCTAAAATAAGTGAGTAATGAGGTACCTGTTGTCTTACATTGTATGATCTCTTAAAAGTTTAAAACGGTAAGTATATCAGGGATATTGCTTGTTAAAAGGTTACGCTGAATACTAGTGCAGGATATTTACAGTTTATTTAAACTCATTATTTGATTCAATATATATCATGTAATCAATCTTACGACTCCCACAACAAAGATTTGGGCTGCTTGCAGTTTGCATAATTTATGATTAAAATTACTAACAGTTAAATTCCCTATATTAACTGTTGCTAGCTGACCCTAAAATTTAGCTGATTGTTTGTATACTCTATGGTTCTTACAAAAACCATCTTTGGCCGCTAATACAATTAGAATTTGAACTCGTTTATTTAAAGATAACTTAAGTAAAATACAGTGTGTTGTCTTCAGGAAAGTTAAAAGAATTAATTATACACTTGAGTACATGATCGATGGGTATAGTTCTGCATAACAGAAAACATAGAGTTTTAAAGTAAACAATACGTGGATTTAGCATTGCGAAGTATAGCCTATTACAGACGTTTAGAGCTCAAGATTCACTATTTTTGCTACACTGATGTTAACGAGGTTCATGTTGTTCAAACCAGCTAACTAATATACTAACCGTTATGTTAAGAATATCATTTTCGTCTTGTTTCTGTTAATTAATAATTGTGTCATGCATACCTAGCTGCGCGATTTAAACTTCAGTACAGTACATTGGAGCGAATATGTTGTGCTCTCCGTCTTCACTTCTGATTCAATCGTGATTATCAGGGGGCGTACCGGTTAGCTCTGCCAATAACTAATTCTGATATTACGTAACGTGCTATCGATACTCTGAAACATAATAACTTCTCAAGATATAATATGTAATACAACAAGTGAAAGTATTAGACTGCAAAATTAAAAGTTAAGGCTTGAATACTTGGAACCCACTTCATTTACAGGTATTTCGGTATAAACCTTTACTTTGTAAGATATGAGTTGTGCTATATCAGTTGATAGAATCATAAGAATGAATCAAATCATTGAATTGATAATCTGCTTACGGAAAAAAATACATATATCCAAACTGGAGTAAATATTAAAAAACCTCAATAAACTGATTTTATTTATTTTATTTGAACACAAAAATATTGGTACAAAAGGGCACCAAATATATATGCGCCACACAAAACAATGAGAATGGGAAAAGAAAAAGAAGGTAAGGTGCGTATAAGGAAAAAAGAAGAACAATAACGACCACAGATTAGTTTATGCCAGTGTAATAATAATAGTAATGTGGGAAAAGGAAAGGTACAACCAGAAGAAATCTTTCAGTTAAGGAAGATACAACCACATTTCATGAAGTAGGAGAAGGTTACAGCAGGATCGCAGCTGTCTTCTATTTTTAGCCATATCTGATAACGTCTCAAGCCACTGTGTCGCACCATCTCTCGGACCCTAGCCAGGGAGTCGTGAAGGACCAACATAAGCCAGCCCTTTGTAGCTTTATCTCATACCACGACACCATGTCATACACTGACCATCTCTCCGCTTTCTCCAACAAGTCCCAGGGTCGGCAAATAATGCACGATGTAGAATTCGCCAGGACGACATTCGTAGAACATATCCAAGCTACCGAAGTCTATGCTTCAAGATAGTGGCACGAATTGAATTACCATCGCTGTGCCTGAACACACGATGTCGAGCCTCTGCATTACTAACATGGTGTTGCCACTGGATGTCAGCAATCCTTCGGAGACAGCGATGATCGAACACAGAGAGTCGTCTAACATCGTCAACTCGGAGAGGCCATGTTTCACAAGCATAGAGCAGAACTGCTCTAACCGATGCGTTGTAGATCCGACCTTTTACAGCCAGACTGACATCACGAAGGCGTCAAAGATGGCCCAGATTGGCATAAGCCCCTCTGGCTTTCACTATAGGTGAATCGGTCTCATCACTCACGCCACCACCAGCACTTATGCAGCTACCTAGATACACGAACTTCTTGACCACGTCTATCCTCTCACTATCCAGTGTGAGTGTAGTGTCAGCGTCCTTCCAGTCTTGTAAAAGTGCTTTGCACTTTGAAGGTGCGTGGCTTGGGCATTATCGCACAGTAAGACAATGTCATCGCATACCCAGGGTCGAGAAGTCTTTCTCCAGGCAACAGATCTACACCGCCATTACTCACATCCATCAGAGCTGTTTCCAGAATGTCATCGACGGCAAAGTTGAAGAGGAATGGTGAGATTGGGCAACCGTGACTAACCCCACTGCTTGAATGGAACAATGGAGAGAGGTGGTTGTATGCCCCCACTCTGCCTGAGGTGTTAGTATATAGGGCTTTTAAGATGTTAATAAACTTCTCAGGCACACCCTTCTTCAATAGACAATCCCAGAGAACAGTCCTATTCAACGAATCGAAGGCAGCCCTGATGTCAAGAAACAGTACGATTGTTGGCCTTTGATAAGTATGACGGTGTTCTAACATTTGGTGGAGTGTGTAGATATGATCAATACATCCTCGACCAGAACGAAAACCAGCCTGCTCCTCACGAATCAATCTTTCTCGGTTTTTGAATAATCTACGAAGTATGATGGAAGCCAATAGATTGGACGCAATTGGAAGTAGATTTATCCCCTGATATTTGTTACAGGAACGACGTGAACCGTTTTTAAAGACAAGGACAACTATCGACTAATTCCATGACGTTGGTACACTCTCTAACTCCCAGACGTTTGTAAACGACACAGTTAGTTTCTTAGCCAGAAAGTCACCACCATCTTCAAAAAGGGCTGGAGATAAGTCATCTGCGTCTGGTGATTTGTAGCGCTTCAAGAGTTGGAGTTCCTTGTAGACTTTCGCCTCGTCAGATGGGTCGGTCGTCACCGGCCGTGGAGGGAAGGACAGTCTGACCGATGTTGCCGGGGCAGCAGGCCAGTTGAACTGCCCTTCAAAGAATTCTGCCCATCGTCCAAGACGTCGATGGATGTTAGTGATTGGCGTTCCGTCATCCTCGCAGATTGTTTCGCTCACACCAAACTTCTTGTTGCCAGTGACTCGGATGAGTTGGAAGAGCTTCCGGTAATTACCAGATGCATGCTGCGGCTTCCAGATCATTAGCACTCTTTGACCGCCAGGCTTCTCGTTCCTTACGCAAGCTTTGCCCGATTTCATTACGTAACAGTCGTCGTTTGTAATCAAACTCACGGTCACCCGGAGTAGACTGACGGGCTTCCATCAGTTGTAAGGAACCAGAAGTAACCCAGTGCTAATAAGCGGGACGTTTCGCGAACCCACAACAGACTGTACCCGCCATTTCCATGGCGTCATGCAATTGCAACCAATGCTCATCTATACTTTTCGGTGGAATGGTAGCTAGCCTAGAAGCTAGCTCAGTTCGGTACTTACTAGGAACAGAAGTTGCAACCAACTTGCTAACGTCAATCCTTTGATGGCGGTCACTTCTTTGTCCACTGAAAAGTAAGGTAAGATTGGCGCAGACCAGAGCATGATCAGATTCCAGATAAGTACTCGAAAAGGAGCGGCAGTCTTGTACACAACCACGCCAGCGGTAGCTGATCGCGATGTGATCAGCCTGAGTCCAGGCTTGAGATGCAGAAGGGAGACGCCAGGTGGCACATCGGCGATGACTGCCGAAAGTTAGTGCTAGCCAGAAACAGGTTGTGGTCTGTGCATAGTTGCAGTAGACGTTCCTCGTTATCTGTCCTGCGACCAACGAGTCCCCATCGGCCACCTAAACGACTCTCTTCTGTGCCTAGACGCCCGACCTGAGCATTCAAGTCTCCGGCTAGTATTACAATATCTGTCGAACGCACTTTCTGGAGAACAGTTAACTGGCGGTAGAACTCGTCCTTGATTGCATCTGGGCTGCAATCTGTCGCGGCATAGGCGGAGATGATGAAAAGACATCGTTTCTCACGCCGATTTCTTCTCACTTTGATGGAACTTTCTAATCTAACAGCACATAACCGACTGTTTATGGGGATCCAGTCGATTAGTGCTGCCTCAGCTCTAGCGCTTAGTGCGACACCGACGCCAGCAAGACCAGACGAAGATGCCTCAGGGCCCCCGGATAAACGCACATAAAACAAGCTTTTCGAAGTGACAGATGGAGAGCGAATTTGTAGTACTTCACCAGAGTCTTGAATACGGGTCTCGGATAGACAACACACATCAATATTAAGACTTTCCAAAGACATAGCCAGCCCTATCTGTTGTCCGACCTGCATAAGTGTGCGAACGTTGAAGGCAGCCAGTTTGAATGGTGCACGTGGTTTCAGAGAAACTGCTTTGGTACTCATATTCGATGGTAACATATAATTTTCAAACGGGCAATGACTCGAGAACTTTTAGATAGAGCCGAATTTCCACCATAGGCGAGCTGCTGTATAAGTCGAAAAATAAGGATAGACAGAGTGGGAATAAAAGAAAGTGAATAAATGACGTGGTAAATAATAATAATGTGAATTGTTTGTCTGTATATCGCAGCGTGAACAGAGTTTTCAGAGAAGATCATCATTTTCATTAAATTTGTGTGTAGGCTGAGATCATGCGGTTTATATGTGTTGACTAAATATAGTTAAGTGGATGGTCACACTTGGATCCTGCAGGATGTGTTTCAGAGACAACATACATCAATAATGACAGATCCTAGCTAAGAGAGCCTGTTGGGCTATATTATGAAAGGTTCGAACACTAAGACCCCTAACGTGTAGTTTACAGAGAGGTTTGAAGAGACCGGAAATCGCCTCGCAAACCTGAATAGTATCCATGATGATGGATAGAAATGAAGTAATAGGAGAGATGTTGGTGGTAGGGATAAAATGAATAGTGTGGAGTGAAGAGGGGATTTGACTGTGAAAAGATTTCTAGTGATATTAGAGGTATGAGGGCGGTTGTTACTTCCTGCTTGCCACAAAGTGCAAGTTAAGCTAGACAGAAAGGCAGCCGATATTGCAGTCTTTATCAATATAAACTCGGGAACCAAAGAAATAACTTTTAATTATATTCACTGAATGAGACCCATTCAGTTAGGTGGTTTAGTTTAAGCATGATAAAATTCGAGAGCTAAAAATTCTTAATAATAATCGCTCTATTTGATGGTGGGAAGCATACAGATGAAAAACAACGTAAAGATCAAAAAGATATTATTGACGGACAGCTTTCTTAATTGAAATGTCAGTGTGAAAGCTTTCAAACACATTAATCATTATATTGAAGCACACTGCATCGACACATGTTACATTACATTTACTTTTCCTCTAAGGTCAGCGCACATAAAAGTCTATAGTGTAGAGCCAAAAATAGCATTACAATGCAGTAAGTGAATTTTGGTTGTTGAGTTAAGCACTAGACTCTCTTTTTTATGTAGTCGAGGTTTGTGTTTTGTTGTATTCATGACAAAATTTATTTCAGTCAGTCAGCTACAACGTAGGACCAGCCACATATATGCATCGGTCCAACTTGCAACACCTCAGTAGCACAAGATGAACACCAAATTCATAGCAATTACTTCAATGATAGTAATATAGAGAAAGATTGTATATAAGGATATGAAACAGAGAAAGAACTAGTTCGTAGAAAGAAAGGTAAAAAGTAATTTTTATCTCAGGGTTTAAGAGAAGACAAAGAGTGTATACACCTACGGCATTGCGATCGATTCTGAGTCATGTCACCCAGTCTCCAACAAAATTTCCTTATGACAGAGGGTTCAAGAGTCGTTGAATACAATTAGAAATGAAAGCTTTATTAAAATCAGGTTTAATAATCACAGAGCAAGCAATCCTAGCACAAACAACTAGAAGTTCATTTGACTGTTTCAGTGTCGAATTTCTGCGAAATGTTTGATATACAGATCCAACTTGAGTACGTAGGAGTAACTGATTAACTAGAATAAATGGACTTGAGCTGATCCATGAACACTTTTGTATTAGAATAATAATAATAATTATTATTATCATTATTTTAACACAGATATTGGTACAGGGAGGCACCAAATACATATGCACCACACACATCTCATTTGATATGCGTGAGGTCTGTGATACTGCGCGGGTGCCCAAACCGAAGCAGGTGGTTTTTTTAGGGGTCCACACACCAAGCCTGCGACCTAAAGGTCTAACCAGCAAGCATCGTAAGGAGATGCAGTCCCATGGTAGCCGGTGACCAACAATTGGTTCATACGCCATTTGTTCCTTCAGGATATTGGAGCCCATGTGCACCATTGGTTTGGGATCCGGTTAAAGTGCAGGACATTCGCTTTTCGTCCTCTCATTTTTGTGAACAACACTGCCACGAGAAGGCAGTGAGTGGGACTTCCCTGGCAGAGACTGTATACGCGTGGCCGTGTGAGAGTATTTCGAGAGGGAGGGCGAACCCACCCTACTCTCGGCCATACTAGGGTATTTGGGGGCAGATAAACTGAGCGAATGACTAGGTATAAAGAGTGGAATTCAAAACAGTTATTTGCATACAAATGTCTGATCATAATAGTATAACCTATGAGAGAAAAAACGGTTAACCAATAAACGAAATCATATTTATGTAGAAAACAGTGAGTTGATAACATTTGTAGCTCAGGTGAATGTTTTTGGTGATTTTATTCACTGAGTTGGATTGTTTGATCGTGCTTCTGAACGCCATCATCAGCACAAACTTCAAGTAGAAGTGAAGCGTTCGAATTTCTCCACATATGACTCCCAGCTCGTCCCGTAGATCACGATCTTGATTGGCTATTGCTGAACTTTAACCTGTCATTGTTTACTTTTTTATTTTCACTGTATCTCCCATCGATTTGACTCTTGGTTCTATATCTGTCTATAATTTTTCTGATTGGTTGATAAATTGGGTCGATTACAATGTGTCTGTTGATCGCTTATTGACGTGAGTGCTAAGCTTCTAAAAATTCTCTGGAGTTTTTAGAATTCCTTCTATCTAGACCTCAACATTTTCCCAGTCGATTGTGTACCCACATGCATTGATATAAGCAGGGATATGCCGTGTTGTTTGACCGCTAATTGATTTTCGTGAACGCGAAGATAAAGGGGGCGTCCACTTTGTCTGATTTCGTGTTTTTCACAGTTGGAATAATTTATTTTGTAGATTATGTTTATTTTTTCTTCTTTTGTCATTCCCTTTATTGGTTTGCATAGGATTGATGGAAGTGATTTTGTTGGCTTGTGTGCTGCACCTATTTCAAAAGGCTTCCAAAAACTCATGATTTTTTATGTCTTATATATGGTGGGACAATCTGATGGTTGGTTCCTGTATCTGATTTTGTTTCTGCTGATGCGTTTGGTTGATTTTTTGGTGAGGTTGATTGGGTAGCAGCTCATTTGAAAGATAGTCTTGAGATATTTTTCCCAGCTGAAAGTGTGTTGAAATGTGTCCTTGCCCTCTTGAATAAAGTTTGTACGTAGTTGATTTTGTGAGTTCTTGGGTTGTTGTTACTGTAATTGAGAATTCGATTTATGTGGGTCGGCTCCTATATACTCGAGTCTCCAGTTTTCTTGTATCAGTCCTGGTGATTAATACATCCAAGAATGATAGTTTGTTGTCTGACTTCTTTTTCTTTGTGAACTTAGTGTCATCGAAGACGTTGTTGGACAGATTGTAGATGTTTTCTAGCTCGTCCTATTTGACAATGACGAATATGTCGTCCACATAGCGATCCAAATTTTTGGGCTGATCACAGGTAAGATCGAGGCTTCCAGTCTCTGATATTGGTGATCCCATCGGTATTCAATTCACTTGTTCGTAGATTTTGTTGTTAAATTGAAAGTACGTTATTAAGCATAAATCGATGAGTTCTAGTAACACATTGAAATCGATCCAATTTATCAACCAATCAGAAAAATTATAGACAGATATAGAACCAAGAGTCAAATCGATGGGAGATACAGTGAAAATAAAAAAGTAAACAATGACAGGTTAAAGTTCAGCAATAGCCAATCAAGATCATGATCTACGGGACGAGCTGGGAGTCATATGTGGAGAAATTCGAACGCTTCACTTCTACTTGAAGTTTGTGCTGATGATGGCGCTCAGAAGAACGATGAAGACTCGATGACCAAACAACTCAGTTCAGAGAACAAATCTATATCAACATACACTGACTTTTAATCTTTGCACAGATAAATAGTAGTAGTTGTAGTATTAACTGTTATATGAAGTATATGGCTTTATTCTGATTATGTGCATGTGATTATGCAACTTCTTCACATGAGAAAAATTATTCCAGAAGTGCATTGAATTGATTTATGGTCGGTTCAGAACACTACTTATAAAATTAAATGATCACATTATTCTTATCAGTGTAAAATTTGCACAATAAATGCATTTTATTTTTGTTGTCATTCATTTATAGGTGATATTTCGACCAATTTCCCTGACAGACAGTTTACTCCAAACGTATATGTTGAAAATCGAAGTGGCTTTCGATCTCATCCACTTAAGGATTATGAGAAAAATATGCCTATGAAACGAAATGAAGAATCTACAACCAAAAGAAGACTAAATGACAAACAAGAACTGATGTATACGCATAACAATCCAGGATTACACTTTGTTATCAGCATACACGAAACACTACAAATTTTGACATTTACGTTATTTGGCTTATTGGCTGGTGCAAGTTTAGTGCATACACTATTCGTACAATCATTAATCAACCCAAGACAGATTAAAAGCGATGGTTCTTGGAATTATAATTATGGAGATGGTTATTTACCATTATTGAAATATTATGGAGTTTATGCACGTCCAATCTCTATTACATTTTATACATCATTAGTTTTGATAGGTGTTTTTGTATTCGGAAAATTCGATTTAGGAAGACCAACAACGAATTGTATTCAGAAATGTGTTAAACTTCAGGTGGTTATTGATAAATTTTGATAGATTATGTAGTTACTTAACATATTTGTCTACAAAATATGGTTCTATTCGTACCAGTAGTCACTCAGTTACTAGTCCTTATATTAATCCGATTATAGGATTAGTGGTTTTATTTTGCTTACTATAGTCTTGTCTCAGGCAAAGCCTGAGAAAAATAGGGTTGACATTTTTTCAATGTACTGACTATACAATCCAAACAAATAATCCCATTAAACTAACAGTCATGAAAACTGCTGACCAGAAAAAAATCGTGATTTAAATTGATTAATCACCGTCCACCAAGTATCAATAATGCTTTATGTGAAACCTGTTTTAGACAACATTATAATTATCAGAAGGGGTTTTATGGAGATTTTAGAAATTTCATTAGTTGAAACCATGAGGCAGTGCGCATCCACTGTCCCGCAGCTCAGAGGTCTAAGCGTCTGCGCGCACGACCGAAGTCTCTGAATTAGAATCCCATGTGCGTGACCGTAAATGCGCACTGTTAAGTAGTCCCATTCTAAGACGAGACGGTTGTCCACTGGTTCCAGTTTTTCGATGGTGGTCTAACATTGATCAATGCATGACACAAGCCAAAAGATATAAGAGAACTAGTCCTAAAAACACTGGTAGTAAAATAATTAGATCATTATCTTTTGCAGTTTATAAAATAATAAATATTCCGTTTTAGTTAATGCTATAATCTATTTTGCAAGAACATATGGCGGGGTAATTTAGCGTTTTACAATCTCTTGGTCACCTAAATCGGTTTTTGTATTACTGTACTTTCTTCGGTGTTATCTTCGTCATGTTCAGCAAATATTACTGATGATATTTTTGAAAATCCTTCTGCTTAGGTAATAATTCTAGTTTGATGATCGCCTTTAGTTGTTAACTAATTCACTTACCGTTCCCCGAAACCTCTGTGGAATCTGTCATTGTATAACGTTAATCAATTAATTGTAAGACTAATTGCAGAAAACAGCACTGCATTTATCGATTAATGAGGATCTTTAAAAAACAGACTTCATATTCTCGTCACGTACATGAAATTCGGTAGTCACTGAGTAACAAAACATTTAAATTTTGAGTCATAAAATTTCGTGCACGAACTTCACCTCATTTACCTTGGTTTATGTAGTCAGATTATATCAATCTTACAAAAATGTGTGGTACCGATCTTGCACACAATTAAATTAAAAATTATTACGCAGTTGGGTCCATAATTTAGATTTGATTATTGATAACTAAACGAAGTTAATGATAAGGTGTTAACCAACTCAAATGAACAGTACCTTACGTGATATATGACAATTGTCATTATTTCATTGTATATTAGTCAAAATTTAATAATCATTATCCAATACGATGTGTAAGTATTGTATGATACTTGAATATTTTGTAGGTTGATACTAGATAATCACTTCAAAATGAGAAGCAGTAGACACTCATTTGTAAATCCAACCTTTCTCTCAAAATTTATCACGTTTTTATCATTTTCTCTTCTTTTTTATTAGAATGGACTAATGGCTATCATATTTTATATGGTCGCTTTCGTAATACACAATTCGATGGGTTGGTTTGATTATATATTTCATGTGAATAGTTATAAATCTGAAGATGAAATAAGATACCTATTGAGTACACAAATTGATTTAAATAATTTACTTAAAATATGGCAAATACTTGATGCTTGTCGTACAGCATTCATATTAATAACATGGATATCAGTTGCATTAGGTGATTCGATTCATGACAGGTTAACTACAACGTTGAATATTAATCCTATGAAAATCGGAGATGGTATTGGAAACAATACCCGGCCGAATTAAACATTACTATACATATAAAAAATGATATTTGTAATCCCTCTTATTCATAGCTGCTAAAGGGAATTTGTAATTTGAGAAATATGCAATAATAATTGGATGTCTATTTTTAAAGCTTCAAGGTCCAACTGTTCTCCACATGACTCTTATTCTTCAAAAATAAATTAAATTATTAAACCCAGTCTATGATGCAGATAAATCGACTGATATATAATAAGTTGCGACATGTAGATTCATGTAATAACCGAACCTAATTAACCGCTATATATATAAGTTTTAGAAATGCTAGAAAAGTAGGAGTATTGAGTGTTTTTTACAGTCGGTATGCTAAATGTAATTTCAATTGCGAATTGATACTTTTTGGAAAGTCATTAAAAATCAGTACACACTGAACCATCACAACTGTTATAAACAATTTAGGACTCATCAGGAGTGAACAGTGGCAACCTCACCAAGGACATTCAGTATTCAGCTGGAATCCAACAGTTCACACTTCCCCATATGTTTTGTGGGATTTTCTTTGAGATGAATGATTATGAGGATAAAACATGTTCAGCAGTGCTATTGTTCGACACTGGACATAAAATAATGTTTTAGAAGTCCTGCAAGATAATCAGCATTTTCGAAAAATCATCTTTTCTTGCTCCTTCCAGTTTTCTCTCCTCTTAATCCATTATTTTACACTTCAATTTTGTTCGACTTTTCGGATAAAGTACAAATTACTTGTTTTGTCTTTTGACTTCCACCATTGGTTTTAGGTCGTAAGCAGTTGAGGACCCGCGAAATAAATGAATCCATATTGTTTTCCTAGGATCATTGTTCTTTATTTAAAATTAATACGTCCAAATTTTGAAGAAACATATTTGTAATTATAGGGTAGTCTACGAAGGAAGTCTTCACTAACCTGTGAAGTTGATGTAAGCTAATTCACTTTTCTGAGAAAAAACCAACCAACAAATATAGTCGTTAAGGACAAGTAAAGAAACTAGTAATAGTATTCCTGTATGAACTTAAGTCTGTAAATTCTGCAGGTCGACTACTGTTGTGTATGGCCAGGGAGAAACTAGTGCTTTGTATTTGTCATTAGTATTCACAAATTAAACTGTGTTGTCTCACAATGGATTGTCTTTGTCTAAGTACATGATTCTGATAGTCACGTTTTATTGCGAATCCAATGCTAGCCACGATCATACTTTTGATACATCAAAAAAAATTTATAATTCATTAAATAGGACTAAACAATATTTCCAACAACGCAAGGTTACTTTTTGAAATCAATACTCTTTAAAAGCGAGTTCAAATGTCACCATTCCACAAAACAGCTCCTGAAAATTCGATTTCTTAGTTTTCGGAATAGTTAAGAGTTTCGTATATTCAGAAACAATAACAAGAATTCAAATCATATGTTATTGGAGACGAGGTTTCATAATGGAAAAGTAGAGTGAAATAGCCAAAAGCTATAGAATGTGTCTGTAACACTTCTTGTAGTTTTCATTAATTGGTTTACTCTGATTGCTAAACCTAAGTAAATTCTGGGTACAGAAATTGAGGATCAGCTGATAGGAAAAGTGATAACGGTATTTCATTGTAGTTTATATGATACAAATTTAAGCGAAGTTAAGCATTACATTTTCTAGTAAAAAAACGTATACAAATACTTTACGAAAGGAAATAAATTTAGATTTTAAGATTACAAACTACACCTTTTAAAGGAGGAGATTGCTCTATAACAATTGATACAATACACTGGTCTAAACATAATATACAAATGTGACGCCACATAATTTAATTGAAACTAGATGTGTTATCGTTATAATTTTGAAGATTCCTGAGAGAATGTGAATGACGATATTCTCTTAGATACATTATTCTCAAATTCAGATAGTCTTCTCTTTGAAGCATTGGAGTTACACTGAATTAAATCATCATTTTCACTTAATGGACGTTTGGCATTACTTTGTAGTAGATTTTCCTTATCTTTTCCATCAAAAACACCGTCTTTTGAACTTTTTATAGAACGCTAATATGAAATGAATAAAAATAAACAAACTTTAGATATATCAATAGTAACCACAGCTATTTGTGTATCATGACATTAAAAAAATATAGCTCATTTACCATGTAAATACTCGTACAACAATGGAAATGTAAGGGTTTGTGACACTAACCAGTTTTTCGAGCCGACGTAGGTAGGGCCCCCAAATGCCCTGGTACGGCCGAGAGTGGGGAGAGTCCGCTCTCCCTCTCGAAATACTCTCACATGGCCACGCGTATATAGCCTCTGCCAGGGAAGTCCTACTCACTGCCTTCTCGTGGCGGGGGTGTTGTTTACGAAAATGAGAGGACGAAAAGCGAATGTCCGGCGCTATAACCGGATCCCAATTCTATGGTGCACATGGGCTCCAGTATCCTGAAGGAACAAATGGCGTATGAACCAATCGTTGGTCACCGGCTACCATGGGACTGCATCTCCTCACGATGCTCCACTGCCTTGTGGATCAGATCTTCAGGTCAAAGGCTCGAAGTGTGGTCCACTAAGAAAACCACCTGCTTCGGTTTGGGCACCCGGGCAGTATCACAGCCCTAACACAAATCAAATGAGATGTGTGTGGCGCATATGTATTTAGTGCTTCCTTGTACCAATACCTATGTGTTAAAATAATAAATAATAATATAGGTAGGGCGGGATTCAAACCCTCGAAATAGTGGTTGAAAGACTTAAACACTAAGCCACTGATCCATTTATGATATTAACACTTAGTTGAAATATTATAATCCAAGTTAAGTCGATGATGTGCACCATCAATATGTATGGCAACGCAATACTTTACAATGACTACTTTAGACAAGCCACCTTTACACCCATGTATTCGTGATATCGAATCGCCATGTCTTAGTAACTTTAAGGAATCCGATGATCATATTAACTTTCAATAATGATATCTGATAACAGCACTAGACTGATCCAACTACTAAGAAAGAATAGTAGGGTGATCTGATCAAACGTGTTAATTAGATCTTTCTGACTAGTTAGTTCAGTAAAATAATAGAAAACTAAGCGAACTATATCGCAAAATTATGAAGTTGAAATCAGAAGGTCGCAAGTTATGCATTGGAATTTCAGAAAACATTGTTTTCTTAGACGGCAGTCCATATATTTCTCTAAATGCTTCATTCATTTACATATCATTTCTTTACTCATGCTTCATCTTCATACAATTTCCTAATTCCATGTTTCTTCCTTACTTAAACAGTGTCACAACGAACAACAAAGTGACATTCTGTATTGTGCCTATCTACCGACAACTCGTATTGAACGAACAGCAATCCTACAATTGAGGTGATAAATAATAGTCATGTTAGGTAATTACTCTTCATATAGATGCAAACTTTATCGGTTGTCAATGAGCATGTCTTATTATAAGAAAATAAGTGATTGTATGAGTAGTGTACAAGGTTTTACACTGAATACCTCTAATCTTAACTGTGAGACTAGTAATAATGAAACTTCAGGTACAGTCGTGTAATACAACCACCTGTCTCTAATGCCTCCTCAGAGCAGCGTGGTTAAACAGATCTCCCCGTGCTCACCACTTCTCTTCGACTTCGCCATCGATGACATTCTGGAAACAGTTCTGGTGGAATTAGGTGGTGATGGTGTGGATCTACTACCTGGAAAAGACGTTTTTTTATCAAACTCAGCTTCATTTCCTTACCTCTTAACAATTTAATTTTCTTATTTATTTTGGCGCCCTCTGTATACGAGTATCACCTGATATTGGAAAATGAAAATCTGTGCGATATTATTATTATTCGTCCAGCCATCAGGTCCCCTGTATCTGTTTAGTTGCAAGGATACAGAATAGATTTCACTTTCTTAGCGTGGAAAAATTAGTGAGAACCAATGGTATCAGAAGCCTTAGATATCTGAATGTCATCAGTTTTGAAGTACATTTAAACAACAAAAAAGGTAAATGTTTATCTACAAATATTATCCAACATCTGAAAATTGAACTATAGTCAAAGATGCATTTTTATAAAATGACTGACTTGTGTCAGAGAATCGGAAGTTTATTTTGCAAGCAACTTTTAGAAAAAAGCACAATTAGGATGAATGGATAATGATAGCCCTTTGGTGCCTAGATCTCTGTCGTTTGGAAATTTCGTGAGTTACACGGACGATATTTTCAAAATGAATACTAAATAAAAGCATATTAAATTGAAAAATAGTGGTTAGTGTTTGTGTGAATACCTTTTATTTTTAATCGTAACGTTTATTATTCGTGACGTTCATAAATGCGAAATCGAAATAAAATAAGCATTTAATATATACGTAACATATTTTAAAAGCACATTGGCACACAGAAATAAAATCATGCTTTATGATAGTTATGGAAAACAAGTACAGTTAGTGAAGGTTAATTGTTCACTTACGTATTCAGACTGTCCTATGCGAACAAGTTCCTCAACTGACACTTCTGGATAACTTTCCTCCAAAGTATCTCGATTTTCTTCAAACCAATCAGTGAATTCTTGATCAACGCTACCAAAATATTTGAATTAAACAATGAGAAACGGTTTAAAATAAAAATCTAAAATAACCATAGGAAGTCATATGAATGTGAAAAAATACAAACTTACTCTGTTATAGCAACAGATTTCATTTTCGGCAATTTAGATCGTTGTGATGACTACAAACAATGAAAAAGATTATTCTACTACATTTTCAATCAAAAAACGATGCAATTAAGGATTCAAAGCGATGTAAGAAAATTCAGTGCGATTAATCTGCTAGAACGTTTTTAATGATATTCAGTTGATAATGATCAAGAGAATTACGATATATATGATCTTTAGGCATAAGGAATAGATAAACTACAATCATTCATCTAAATAACACGAGACAACCGATAGATAACACTTAATGTATCACTTTACGCTTCCAACAGGATCCTATCCTCCAACATATGGATTTGTAATCATTGATTTACAAATGAGAGGTAACATGTGACAGGTATTTATCTACATTTGTTTGTGTTGTTGTTGGAATCGATCTCGCAAAAGGGAATCTAATTTTTAAAGTTGCTTTTAATCTTTAATTAATTTCACGAAATATCTGAGCACTTTTGAGTGGCGATAGAATAAAAACATTCTTCTCTTTGGGCTTGCATTCTGCCATCGAACTTCGGTATTCAGTAATACATTTATTCATAACTGATTGAGGGTATCCATTCCTTCTCAGACAATCGTTTAGTGCAGTGTACTCCTCTTCGAGCCTTATTAGTGTATATTTTGATCTTGCTGTAGTACGTTTTCACAAACCTATGTATAGTTAATTAGTTGAGAACCGCACGGCTATCGTAACCAATGGTTGGAGACTCTGGGTGACATGGCTTAGAATCGACCACTATTGCGTCCGTGTATACACTCTTTGTCTACTATTATAACGTAAAATTAAAACTGTATTATGCATTTCAATGAAATAACTTTTTTCTTCCTGAACTATATCCTCATACACAATCTTTCATTATATATAACTACCCTTGAAATAACTATTTCTATGCATTTGGTGTTTATCTTTTTGTGCTAATGAAGTGTGGAGACTTGGATCGATGCATATATGTGCCTGGTCCTACGTTGTGACTGACTGACCTAAAGTAATTATAAAAATAATCCTGCTTTTTTGAAATTAATTTTTAAATTTATATTACACACAATTTATACCCTAATGCCAGAAATATAATTTCCAACAATATGTTATAGATTATCAATAACTAGTCACTTGGTCAGTCACTAACAACGTAGAACTTTGTATGTACGTACATCAGTTCGAGTTGCCATACCACATTAGCACAGAGATGCAGTTGTCGATTCAAATCCCGTAGTGGTAGATTTAGTAAGAGCATAAGCAGTAATCGGAAGCATTAGGGTTTGAAGATGTTATTCAAGGAGTATAATCCGGTGAAATAACTTTGAAAGCAGAAAAAAAGAAAAAGACGTGAAGAATTCAGAAGATTAGAATTTGGGAGAATACAAAGAGTGGATGCACCTGCGCCATGTCATTTAAGGTCTCTAACCATCGGTTGCTATCATCTCGCGGATCCCAACCAGATAGTCTACACCTCCCAACATGGCTCAGTCCACTTGTCAGTGACTTCATGGATTTATGCCATGTTTTGGTCTGGCCAACCCTAGCTTTCTTCCAACCTACTCCTACACCATAAAGCGTCGCACGTTGGGGTAGTCGCTGGTTGGGCATACGTAACATATTTCCCAGCCATCTCAACTGTTAAAGTTTCACTACTTCATCAATTGATTTGCCATACTTACCTAGTACTCGTTTCCTAACAACTGCGTTACTTATCCGGTGGTCCCAGGGTATTCGAACAATGCTTCGAAGACACCTATGGTCAAATACTAGTAACCTACAAATATCCTCTACTCTTACCGATCATGTTTCACTGCCATAAAGTAGGACGGAACGAACTGCTGCGCAGTAAACCCGTCCTTTGGTTGGTAGACGGACATCTCGCCTACGCCACAAATGACACAAGTTGGCAAAAGCTAGTCGAGCCTTCTGTATCCGTGTTGAGATTTCGTCACACACCAGACCACAATGCCTGATGAGACTCCCAAAATGAGTGAAACGATCGATACACTCAACTACTTCACTCCATAACATTAGTTCGGGTATCGATGCAACGCAATCCTGAAGTAACATTTTACATTCCGAGTGGGAGAATCGCATGCCGAACATGCTTGGATTATTGCTTAGAGTGGTCAGAGTCTTCACCAAATAGAACTACTTCATCAGCATATTATAAGCCAACAAGTGGATCTCCCAGTAAAACTTCAACTACTGGAAATTTAGATGAGGAAAGTGTTATCTCTGAAAGCACGTCAGCGACAAATTGAAAAAGAATGGAGAGATTGGACAGCTCTGATGAACACCACTTGAGGCAATCAGTTCTGATGACAGTTCACCATAAGCTCTCCCTCTGCCAGTTGTGTTCGAGTAGAGAGTCTTTATAGAGTTAATGTACCTCTTTGATACTGCTTCCAGTAATAAACACTGCCATAGAACCTCACGATCAACAGAGTCAAATGCTGTCTTAAGGTCGAGAAATACTACTATTGTGGGACGTCTGAATGTGTGTCTATGTTCTAGGACCTGATGTAGTGTGAATATCTGGTATATACAACCACGTGCAGGCCGAAAACCGGTCTGGTTTTCTCTAGTCTGCTCTTCACGAGCTTTAGTTAGGCGTCGACGTATTATTGAAGCTAATATTTTAGACACTATATTGGTCAAATTAATTTCTCTGTTATTGTCACAAGAAGACTTTTATCCTTTCTTATAGACTGGCACAATCAGTGATTGAGACCAGTCAGATGGGATTATATCCAGTTCCCGAATTTTACCCAAGTCCTCGCTGCTAATACTGGACCGCCAACCTTAAAAATCTCAGGAGTAAACCTGTCGTGGCCTTCTGCTTTCCCTCACTTCGGATATACTACAGCTTTTTCAACTACGCAAAGCGTCGGAGGATTTACATTAACTCACCATTCAGGTCGACTGGAGATCCTGGGAAAGCGAAGTGTGGCTGAAGGCCAGTTGAACTGATCACTAGTGTTCTGCTCGTCGATACAATCTCCTGGATTGAGAATGAATAATATGTCCATCTTCCTCTACGATTGTTTCGCTAACAGTTTGGTTCCTAATACCGGTTTCCTAAACAAGTCTGAACAGTTGCCTACTGTTACCTATTGCCGCTGCCTTTCCTATCTCGCTTGCTTTCGCTACTCACCACTGTTCGCGATCATTGCATAGGCTTCTTATCAGCCTGTGTTTAAGCTGACTCCGCTCTTCATCATGTTCAGAGCCAGATGCTGATAAGGTCTAGTATTTCTCCCTAACCGTATGGTTTATCTTACTAGCAGATATCACTGCTGTTTCTACAGCTTTCCGGATATCGTTGCGAGCTGCCTCGGATAAGGTCAGAAAGCTTTCTGTAAAACTGATCTTTTACATTAGTGGGAGAGTAGGCAGAGACAATGAGTGTCCCTATCTTTCCGAGTACTTACTGTTCCGTTTAATTCGACAGCGTACAAGTGACTGTCTACTGGGATCCAGTCTAAGAGAGCTAGTTTTGCCCTAGGACTCGATGCTATACCTACACCAGCAAGAAAACGGGAAGCAGCATCAGGGCTTCCATAGATGGTTCTTTATTTTGATATGGTGAGGTCAAGTGAATGACACTACTCGGATCCTGTATGTGCATTTCGGGGACGCAGCATACATCGATGATGCGAGATTCTAAGGTCCTAGCGAAGCAAGCCAGTTGTCCTATTTGGCACAGTGTTCGGACGTTAAAAGCTCCTACATGTAGTTTAGAGCGTGGTTTCAAGCGACCAGGAATAACGTTCCGCGTACTCGAATCGTTTGCACTAGCGGGGCGAGGTGATAAAGGGACGTGAGAAGGGTTAGTCATGGAGATAACAGAGGTATTAGATGTTGGAAGGATTTGCATGTGACCAACTTGGTCTCGTGTGCTGTTACGTGTATGAGGGCTGATTTCACTTTCCGGCTGCCCACACCGTGGAAGGGTATTTCTTGAGGAACCTGAAAAGGAAGTTGGATTGATGGTGACTTTAATGACCTGGGAGCGTAATTGCAGAGCTCAAGGGACAACTACTTGAGTCTGGTCACACACAGTCTTTCTGTGTCAAGTTGTTAACGTGTTAGCTCAGTTGTTTATAAGGCCTTACCGCCAGAGACGGAAATCCGAGAGGAGTGGCACTTTCATAATCGACCTTTTATAACCCCTTCCTTCCTTGTGAGAAGGCAGTATCGCCGTCAATGCTAGTTGTCTGAGGGAAACAACTTACTGCTGTCACACCCCTCTACATTCAGCAGTACGACTTCGCCCTCAGACCGTGAGTTACTGCTTTTAGTCTTACCGTTCTGCAATCGACCTGCCTGGCATGGTAGAACCTACAGGTATATATGTTCCAGTCAAAATAGCTCGGTTAGGTCATCGCGATAGGCAAGTCCGATTACCACCTCAAGGTAGCAACTGCAGTCAAGATGAAGAATTACACATATCAGTTTGTATGTATTCCTATATATATAAATTCCATCCACTAATTATTGACGTAAATTCATTTAAGAAAATAACAACGATGTATTAATCAGCGGCAAGATGTAGTCATCAGACAAAACAGATTTTAAATGTTTCAAGATCTTCCCATTGTAGGCTATCATCGAAATAAATAATCTGAAGGGTTTGGAAAATGAGCAGTTGTTTGAGGAAATTCAATAACAGAAAACTGCATTGTGATGTTAAGTTATTCAGATTATCATTAGCTCCAATATGAATCAATAAGTGATTACCAAAGATAGCTGGTCAAATTTATCGAAATAAAGTGGAACACAATAAACAATAACGTTACGTAACCATATGTACTTAACATGCAGTTCAACAGGCAACACAATGAACTATTACCATATCAACATTCATGAGCAAACACCAACTTAATACAATATTTGGTAAATCGATTAAGATAAATTATTTACTAACTCGTAGTATATGGTGAAATAAACTCACGGAGAGTGAACGCTTTTTGTCGTTCTGAGTTTTTTTGACATTAGGCTTCTGAGAAACTTTGGTGTTTGTAGCAGTCGTCTTAGGTGTCCAAGAATCTAAGAGTTCAGTTCCATGAGCGACCGAACGGGGTGCAAATTCTTTCGGTTCATGAGAAGACTATAACAATAATGATAATTTATAAGAAAAATTCATCTAAGAGATTAGAAATAAAGTAAATATGACTCGTACAACACACAAAATAAAATTGCTGTTTATAAATAATGAAAAGTTTTATGATTTTACTTGGAAATCTCAGTTACATAAGTTTGGAAGGTAGTTTACTATCATACATAGTTGGTAGATTTCGGTTCCAAAGTCTAATTTAATATATTTGGCAAAACAGATGTATCCAAAGACTCTCAGTTTTCATTCCAAATTGAAAGCAACATCAAATATATATTTGACTGCGAATCCCAGGAAATTAACTCGACTGATCAGTTTACAATATATCAGCATACCGGAAACTCAATTTATGTAATGATGGTGTTTTATTCCCAATTCCTTATTCATTCGAACAGGTATTACGGCTGATTATTACATACCATGATAGTTTTGTAACCAGAGACTTAGTCTTTACTAATCAAGAAACTTGAGTTTTGTAAATAGTGAGAAACTACAGACACTATGTTCATCAAGCATTAAGCTATTTGCACACATTATAACATCTTTAAAATAATTCAATCAATTAAAATGGTAACGTTACTTTGTGTTATCTACGCGAACACATAGTAACGGTTTTATTAACTCACTTTGAATGGATTTCGTGAAGAGGGAGTTAACACAGAATGAGACAGAGACTCGGCATCTGCTAGAGGTAGATTATTAATGGAACCATCAATATGGCCATCATCAGTTCCAGAACTAACAAGTGAAGTATCCGTCGCATCATGATAATCTGAATCATTTGTAGGTCTTGAAGTCTTTGAATGAGAATGAATATGGTTTTTCGACGGAGAACCGGAGGACGTAGTAGGATCTCTAGAAAACATTAAGAAATAAGATTAAATTCCGTAGTGTATGTATGCACTAAGCAAAAGTGAATTCATAATCACGTATCGGGAAATTAATTAAATTTAGCACAATTAAAAATGCCGCTGACGAATTTCTAATAAAAAAGGTCGAATCTAACCTAGGATCACATAAGCAACAGATGATTACCAAGGTTGGGATATTACAACTCTAGACAAACCAAACCATCCAGAATACATGTTGGCACTATAATTTATGAACCTGTGAGCAACGCCGAAGTAACCTTGAGACAACTCACCTACTTACCAAAGTCAAAAGAGGATTATAAATTAATATGGGTAATTAGGATCAAGATAACGAGTTAGGATTTAAAATTAGAAACAAAAGTAAGAGTTTTCATTAAGAGCTGGCATCAGCTATAATGCCAAAAATGCTGTTTAATTATAAAACGCATGAATTTCGTGACAAAATCCAAGATTTGATACCCTTAATTTCATCGGTTTATCCATAAATTATAGTCTCACCGCATATTAATATTTTTAGTCCGAAGTATCATCTTCACGAAATAGAACGAACACAGCTAAGTATTCTACGCCTATCTAAAAACTTGTGCAACGGATTTAAGCATTGTTACAAATAGGCCAAACGAATAATACATGGAGAGTAATGAATGAATATGGACGTTTCAACGGTGAATAATCTTATGAACACCGAAGACAAACGTATGTGATTTTTGCTTTACAATATTTTTAGAATAAGCGATGAGGAATATATATCCTCTTGTCAGTGTTGTAATTGTTAGGAGTCTCAACAATTCAGTTAGTAAGATTCATAAATCCTTAAACAACTAAAACTGTCAGTCAGTAACAACGTGGAACTTCGTACGTACGTACATCAGTTCGAGTTGCCATACCACATTAGCACAGAGATTCAGTTATCGATTCAAATCCCATAGTGGTAGAGGTACTGAAAGTATAAGTAGAGATAGGGGACATTAAGGTTTGATGATGTTATTAAAGGAGTATAGTCCAGTGGAATAAATTGGGAAAGAAAATAAAGGACATGAAGAATTCAGAAGATTAGAGTTTGAGAGAACACAAAGAGTGGATGCACCTGCGCCATTGCAAACGATTTTGAGCCATGTCATTCAAGGTCTCTAACCATCGGTTGCTATCGTCTCGCGGTCCCCAACCAGGTAGTCTACACCTACCAACATGGCTCAGTCCACTTGTCAGTGACTTCATGGATTTGTGCCATGTTTTTGTCTGGCCGCCCCTACCTTTCTTCCAACCTACTCCTACACCATAAAATATAGCACGTCGGGGCAGTCGGTGGTTGGGCATGCGCAACACATGTCCCAGCCATCTCAAATGATTGAGTTTCACTACTTCATCAATTGATTTGCCATACTTACCTAGTACTCGTTTCCTAACAACTGAGTTACTTACTCGGTGGTCCCAGGATATACGAGCAATGTTTCGAAGACACCTATGGTCAAATACTAGTAACCTACAAATATCCTCTACTCTTACCGATCATGTTTCACTGCCATAAAGTAGGACGGAACGAACTGCTGCGCAGTAAACCCGTCCTTTGGTTGGTAGACGGACATCTCGCCTACGCCACAAATGACACAAGTTGGCAAAAGCTAGTCGAGCCTTCTGTATCCGTGTTGAGATTTCGTCACACACCAGACCACAATGCCTGATGAGACTCCCAAAATGAGTGAAACGATCGATACACTCAACTACTTCACTCCATAACATTAGTTCGGGTATCGATGCAACGCAATCCTGAAGTAACATTTTACATTCCGAGTGGGAGAATCGCATGCCGAACAGGCTTGCATTGTTGCTTAGAGTGGTCAGCAGACTCTGCATTCTGTCAGCGTCTTCACTAAATAGAACTATGTCATCGGCATATTCTAAGTCAACAAGTGGATCTCCCGGTAGAAGTTCAACTCCTGGAAATTTAGATGAAGAAAGTGTCATCTCTAAAAGGACGTCAACGACAAAGTTAAACAAGAATGGATAGAGTGGACAGCCCTGACGAACACCACTTGAGGTAATCAATTCTGATGACAGTTCACCATAAGCTCTCACTCGACCAGTTGTGTTCGAGTAGAGAGCCTTTATAAGGTTGACGTACTTCTTTGGTACTCCCTTCAGTGACAAACATTGCCATAGAACCTTACGATCAACAGAGTCATATGCCGCCTTAAGGTCGAGAAATACTACCATTGTGGGACGTCTGAATGTGTGTCTATGTTCTAGGACCTGACAACTAAAACTGGGGACACCTTTAGTCATTATGTGAAATATAGGTGTTAGAAATACAAAAGTGAACTAATCTTATTACTAAGCGCCTATCACTTAGACACATGGTAATCACAAAAACTGAAAAATGGAATACAATCTGAGACTGAGTTACGGAAGAAAAGAAGATAATAATAAAAACAAACTGTATAAATTGATGCAGTTTGTTCATGAGAAGTAGGGCTAATTGAAGCCTGATCCTCGAAACTCGCCAAAATAGATTCACAGATTACGATGTGGCGTGTGCTACTTATGCGAACAGACATAAGTGGTATGTAGCAGCAATTAGAAGTGGAGTGCTTACCAGCTGAAAATTGAAATAAAGATAAAGGAAACAAAGAGCATTCGGAATAACAACGTGGTTGGAAGAATGATGGAGTATGTACACGACAATGCAAGGAAGATATGCAAATGATGTATTTAATGTATGATTTTCGTATTTTACAAATGCAGTGTGACTTAGCATAAAATAATAAATTGGTTTGCCCTACGTGAGTTTTCATTTACTACAACGACATCAACATTAACCAAATCTGAATTTACGTAGTTTGACTAATTTAAGATGATAGTTCAATTTATCAATCGGTTTCAAAAGCGTATTCTGTGGTTAAATAAATTGAAATTTCTCACTAAAATATTAACCAAAAATAATAGCATATCGATGAATATATGTACCTATTACACTTTCCCTTAAATGTTGAACTCCGTAGTATATCATCCCAATCATTAACTTCAACAGCTTCTGATACACGGCGTTCTTTTTCTAAAGCGACTCCTGCTAAACGATGTGCGAGGTTTTGACGCCTCAGCCGACCAGCGTATCTAATAGCAAGCTGAACAGTCGCTGCATCTGGCATCATATTAGCGATTGCAAGGCTAGCCCAGTCAGATTCGAGTTTCGCTGCCAGCTGTATGGAGTAAAACAAAAAAGGAGTTGATCTAGAACAATAATTATGGAAAGGGAAGATTGACATTCCCATTTTACAGAGATAAGTGGTGACATGGAAACTCTTATAGTGATTAGTTTCCCAGTCTAAGTAATTGGTGTATTTAACGTTTCCCTACGGCACTCTTAAATTCACTTTTAACCATTATGTTCTCTGAATTTTTATATTTCTATACTCTTGCACCATATGCTGACGATCAATAAACAATAAATAATTCTTTTCGCATCGTTACTGCCTTATTTTCGAAAGATTATACTTTCAGTAGATTACAAGATTTCGGTTGCCCAAGACGTTTTGCCATATATTTACACAATATTATCTTCAAATTCTTTATCTCTTTTTTAAGACATTGTGATATCCTGCGAACATAAATCTTTTTAATATCTCATAATTACACTATCTGAGGTTAGTCGGAAAATCGACGTACATTCGACGTTTTGTTCGGTTATTGCGAATGGTATCATACCATTTTATAATTGTAACTATGTTCATAAGTGCTAATTCACTCATTTCCGTTATAGCCACAAAATAAACTTTATGATTTGTAATAGCAACTGTCTTGGTAGAACCATTTTCTCACCAAATAGTTAAGAAGACATCCGAGAAATGTGTTCTACATATTAAACGCAAAACATAAGACACTATCTGCGATGAAAATCTATATTTACGTACAAGACTAAAATTGGTACAAACAGATGAATATAAATAAACAAAACTCACCGCAAAAAGACGTAACAGAACTGCCTTGCGCTTGGTCAGCGACTTTGTATTTAATGATAATAAATGTGACAATATATCCTCATTTGCATCAGTGATATTCGGACCCCAGATAGGCCAGTCTTCACTGATTACACACTGAAGATAATTTTCCTATTTAAAAAGGATATTAACAGTAAACTTCTTTAATTATATGAGGCAAAAAACGTATATCAAAAATGTATTGCTTACTAACATATTTTTGGTTATAATCCCTTCTGAAGCTGTAATCTCGTTACTGATTATTCTGAAGAATGAAGTCCATGGTGATAAGAAAAGGTGGACTATAGTCAGGCTCATATTTCCAAGGAAAATGGACAATGACATCGTATTTACTCAACAGTACCACATAATCCCAAATCAAAGTAGGTGGGACAAGGATTGCTCGACCGTTGTTGCTACCTTGACGTGGTGGTCGGTCTTGCCTATCGTGATGAATCAATCGAGCTATACTGGCTGGGACAGTCGTACCTCAAGGTCCTACCATGCCGAACAGGTCGGTTGAAGAACAGTAAGGGCAAAAAGCAGCAAACCCAAGGACTTAGGGCGAAGTCGTACTGCTGACTGTACAGAGGTGTGACGGCAGTAAGGTGTTTCCATCAGACAACCAGTATAACAGCGATGCTACCTTCCCGCAAGCAGGGGTGAGGTTAGAAAAGGTTGAAACTAAAAATGCACACCTAACAAACACTAATCCGACTTACTGTGCAGGTTCCTCAATAAATACCCTTCCACAGGGTGTGCAGCCGGAAAGTGATATCAGCCCTCATACCCGTAACAGCACACCAGACCAAGTTGGTCACATTCAAATCCTTCTTATACATTTATGTCTATCTTTTTATGAGATAGTTCTGCTAACAGTTGGGTTCCTAATACCGGTCTCCTTAACAAGTCTGAACAGTTGTCTGCAGTTCATTCCATCCTACTTTATGGCAGTGAAACATGATCGGTAAGAGTAGAGGATATTTGTAGGTTACTAGTATTTGACCATAGGTGTCTTCGAAGCATTGTTCGAATACCCTGGGACCACCGGATAAGTAACGCAGTTGTTAGGAAACGAGTACTAGGTAAGTATGGCAAATCAATTGATGAAGTAGTGAAACTTTAACAGTTGAGATGGCTGGGAAATATGTTACGTATGCCCAACCACCGACTGCCCCGACGTGCTATATTTTATGGTGTAGGAGTAGGTTGGAAGAAAGGTAGGGGCGGCCAGACAAAAACATGGCACAAATCCATGAAGTCACTGACAAGTGGACTGAGCCATGTTGGTAGGTGTAGACTATCTGGTTGGGATCCGCGAGATGATAGCAACCGATGGTTAGAGACCTTAAATGACATGGCGCAGGTGCATCCACTCTTTGTATTCTCCCAAATTCTAATCTTCTGAATTCTTCACGTCTTTTTCTTTTTTTCTGCTTTCAAAGTTATTTCACCGGATTATACTCCTTCAATAACATCTTCAAACCCTAACGCTTCCGATTACTGCTTATACTCTTACTACATCTACCACTACGGGATTTGAATCGACAACTGCATCTCTGTGCTAATGTGGTATGGCAACTCGAACCGATGTACGTACATACGAAGTTCTACGTTGTTACTGACTGACCGACTGACTGGTGTAATAAATATTTATTTCTCGTTGATGAGAAAGTGGTTTTAAAGGAAGATATCATTTATCAATAATTATTAAAGAACCTTATCAAAGTCAATGGTATACTAGAAACTTATACCAATGTAATACCAAATGAATACGTCAGTCCAAAAAAATGCTTTGACTTGCGAATTTCTGGCAAAAATCTTCAGAAATCTGATAATTTCAGGCATATGAAGCTTCGGTGAGAGTAGTCAGATTTGTGGTTGCTAATCCTAGCCATTTCCCAGTTAAGTATATCTGAATACTTTGAGTCAGGCCTTTTTTACCAAAAAACTAGTTGCGTTCGCTAGAAAAACCGTGAAAGTAAAGCTGAGGTCCAATAATGTCTGTTTGGCATGGTGAATAATTGGAATGTTGGCTTTTGAAGCTCGAACACATCCTACGCATATTGTTTCAGTGAGAATAGCAAAATGAGTGTTAATTTTATAACATCTAGTCGTGGAACGTTGGACGGTTGTGTTGGATTAGTGTTTGTCGAAACACAACCCCTCAGATAGGGTACTAGAGGCCATATAACCTAATAGCTTGGAATGTTGTCAGATATGCAATTTTACATTGCGCCTTTTTAAAAACATTAAGATACTTGAGATGAATGAAATATATTTTGGCCATGATGTCTGAATTGCTTCTTTAGATGATTTTCACTTCTTTTAAATGTTTTTCCATTTGACTTTTAAAAATTTCTAAGCTTTGTATTTTTGATGGAGTTTTGTTCTCTGAGCTGGATGGTTTGGTCGTGGAGCTTTCATCGTTCTTCTGAACGACATCATCAGCACAAACTTCAGATAGAAGTGAAGTGTTCGAATTTCTCCATATGCGTTTCACAGCTTGTTCTGTGCACCTCGATGTTGATTGGTTCTTATTGACCTTAAATTTGCCATTGTTTACCTTTTTGTCTCCTATTGGTTTGATTCTTGTTCCTATATTTGTGCATAAGTTTCCTGATTGGTTGATAAATCGGATCGATTTCAATATGTTTGTTGATTGCTGATTGACCTGAGTGCCAGGCTTCTAAAAATTCTCTTGTGTTTTTAGAATTTCCTCTGTCCACGATTTCCACATTTTTCCAATCGAATGTGTGTCCGCAGTTGTCCACGTGTATTGATATAAGTGAGGAGATATCATGCCGTTTGACTGCTAATTGATGTTCATGTAAGCGCATGTGAAGGGGGCGTCCGCTTTGTCCGATGTAGTGTTTGTCGCAGTTGACACAATTTATTTTGTAGATGATGTTCGATTTATCTTCTTTTGTTATTTCATCCTTTGGTTTGCATAGGATTGATTGTATTGATTTTGTCGGTTTGTGTGCCACACCTATCCCGAAGGTTTTTAGCAGTCTTGTTGCGGTTTCTGATATGCCATGTATGTATGGTAGGGTGATCCGTTTGTTGATTTTTGTGCTTGATTTGTGCTCTGATGCTGCATGTAGTTGGTATTTTTTGATGAAGTTGACTGGGTAACCATTCTTTTGAAATACTTCCTTTAGGTATTTCTCTTCTTTTCTTCGTGCTGCCAGAGTGGTGCAGTGTGACCTCGCCCTCTTGAACAAAGTTTGCACGCAGTTGATTTTATGTGCTCTTGGGTTGTTGCTATTGTAGTTTAGAATTTGATCTGTGTGGGTCGGTTTCCTATGTACTTGAGTTTCTAGTTTTCCTGTGTCAGTTCTAGTGATTAATATATCCAAGAATGGTAGTTTGTTGTTTGCCTCCTGTTCCATTGTGAACTTGATGTCATCGAAGACGTTGTTGATCAGTTTGTATGTGTTTTCTAGCTCATTCTTTTTGATGATAACGAATGTGTCGTCTACATAGCGAATCCAAATTTTTGGTTTGATCACTGGTAATATCGCGGCTTCCAGTCTTTGCATCACTGCTTCTGCGATCAGTCCTGATATTGGTGACCCCATTGGTGTCCCTTTCGTTTGTTCGTAGATTTTGTTGTTGAATTGAAAATATGTTGTTAGGCATATGTCGATGAGTTCTAGTAGACTTTGACTTTGAAGTTTTGTGTACTTTGTGAGATTTGTGTCGTTGGCGAGGAGCAGGGATATAGTTTCTTTTGCTAACCTCAATCGAACCAAGGTTAGCAAAAGAAACTATATCCCTGCTCCTCGCCAACGACACAAATCTCACAAAGTACACAAAACTTCAAAGTCAAAGTCTACTAGAACTCATCGACATATGCCTAACAACATATTTTCAATTCAACAACAAAATCTACGAACAAACGAAAGGGACACCAATGGGGTCACCAATATCAGGACTGATCGCAGAAGCAGTGATGCAAAGACTGGAAGCCGCGATATTACCAGTGATCAAACCAAAAATTTGGATTCGCTATGTAGACGACACATTCGTTATCATCAAAAAGAATGAGCTAGAAAACACATACAAACTGATCAACAACGTCTTCGATGACATCAAGTTCACAATGGAACAGGAGGCAAACAACAAACTACCATTCTTGGATATATTAATCACTAGAACTGACACAGGAAAACTAGAAACTCAAGTACATAGGAAACCGACCCACACAGATCAAATTCTAAACTACAATAGCAACAACCCAAGAGCACATAAAATCAACTGCGTGCAAACTTTGTTCAAGAGGGCGAGGTCACACTGCACCACTCTGGCAGCACGAAGAAAAGAAGAGAAATACCTAAAGGAAGTATTTCAAAAGAATGGTTACCCAGTCAACTTCATCAAAAAATACCAACTACATGCAGCATCAGAGCACAAATCAAGCACAAAAATCAACAAACGGATCACCCTACCATACATACATGGCATATCAGAAACCGCAACAAGACTGCTAAAAACCTTCGGGATAGGTGTGGCACACAAACCGACAAAATCAATACAATCAATCCTATGCAAACCAAAGGATGAAATAACAAAAGAAGATAAATCGAACATCATCTACAAAATAAATTGTGTCAACTGCGACAAACACTACATCGGACAAAGCGGACGCCCCCTTCACATGCGCTTACATGAACATCAATTAGCAGTCAAACGGCATGATATCTCCTCACTTATATCAATACACGTGGACAACTGCGGACACACATTCGATTGGAAAAATGTGGAAATCGTGGACAGAGGAAATTCTAAAAACACAAGAGAATTTTTAGAAGCCTGGCACTCAGGTCAATCAGCAATCAACAAACATATTGAAATCGATCCGATTTATCAACCAATCAGGAAACTTATGCACAAATATAGGAACAAGAATCAAACCAATAGGAGACAAAAAGGTAAACAATGGCAAATTTAAGGTCAATAAGAACCAATCAACATCGAGGTGCACAGAACAAGCTGTGAAACGCATATGGAGAAATTCGAACACTTCACTTCTATCTGAAGTTTGTGCTGATGATGTCGTTCAGAAGAACGATGAAAGCTCCACGACCAAACCATCCAGCTCAGAGAACAAAACTCCATCAAAATCATCCACCTGAGCTACAAATCTTCTCCACCATCTCAAGCTTTATATTGCTACAAACTTTTTAGTGTTACTAATATCTTGACAGCTGGTAGTAGTAGATACTACGACAATCTTAACAAACTTTAAACAACAAAGATGAACAATTTTAGCTTCACTTGTTAGGTTCTCTCAAGTTTAGTAAGCTTACCAGTTAGAAAATCTACGAAGACTGACTAGCCTGGTAGTCTACCGGTTAAAATAAGTCATAAATCCCATTATATTAGTGAGAGATATAATTAATGTTAAGTTTTAATGTACAAAAAACAGTTGCACGACATGATCCAATCAAGATTTATTTGGATTGCCATATCACGCTGCAAGTGTAATGAGAAAAGTTATAGTCGATACGATACCCTAAGATAATTGATCATTCGGCACATATGACATCATTATACTGAATTTAAACGGTAGAAAGTGATAAACATAACACTTTATAATTTACAAGTACTTGTAAAACTAACCTCCAAATCACTTTGATCGGTATTCATTGAACATAAAGGTAGACGGAAGGATATATTTGACACCACAGGTCGTGGAAAAACTCTTGGCCATTTTGAGGCTTTACAGTAAATTGCTTGAAGTTGACCAAACCCAACGACATTGGATTTCAAATCCTTTTTATTTTCAGAAGACAAATTTTCTACAGATTCACAGGATTCTAAGACACCAACAACGAAATAATTATCTGTTCGCCTATTGTTTTGCTTTAATAAACTTCTTGTATCACAAATAGGAACCCAATGAAATTCTGGGTGTCCTTGCGAACGGCCATGAATAAGGCGTCGTACGACTCCATTAGAGTCATACGTAAACAATCCTCCAGTATCAGAGAATCCAAACCATGTTAAGCGAACTACTGAAGTGTCAAGGGAGGTATGGTGTTTTAATGGAGGACTAAGTGGCAAATGTTGCCAGATAGATAAGGAACTTTTCATCCATAGTGGAGCTGCAGTCCGGTTGGATCCAAGCATAATTCCTCCCAAGTAAAACACTCTCCATTCTAATTCTCCTACTACATTACAAGTTACCACAGCCAAAATAGGATTATTAGGATGACTTGCTAAAACAACAGTGTGGTGACCAGAGAGACTAATGGGTGGCAAACCTAGCTTATTTATCTGAAGCAGACGTAAATTATTCGAATGTGCCACGGATGAAGATGGAGAAGGTTGGGTAAAAATGCGCAGCAGGCGCTTTGAGGTAGCGACAACAGCATAACCAGGACTTTCAGTTTTATCATTACCCTCTTCAGTAACTAAGCAAACCGCATCACATAACTCGCCAGGTGGGAGAGTTGTAGTCCATTCTACAGAGGCATCTCCGATGTTTGAACTGCCAACATCGAGTGGTAATATTGCGATGCGACTGAGATCATATAATTCATTTTGCTCATCATCATTCAAATCATCCAGATTGGGGTCATCTGAACCCTAAAGTATATTAGAGCATGAATAAATTATCTTTTTACATATGATATCAAAATGAACCAGAAAATCAGTGACTCGAGTCTACATTAACATTAAAAGCCGACTAATTAAGTCAGTCAGTTATATACAAAGTAGGACTAGACACATATATGCATTGGTCCAAGTTACCATTTAGCTAAAGTCGTGAAGTTAAAACAAATAAACTTTGAAAAACGAATAATGAAGGATGTTTGAATTCCAATCAACCTATTTTTGCCCTATATTTGCTTTTAACCTGCTATGCGAAAAACTTCGCAAAAACTATGGGCTACATTAAATGAGACGAAAACTAGGTCCTATAATAACCCCTGATTAAGGGTGAAAACGTATTAATAACGTTCTGATGTGAGTTTCAGGGCAGTGTAAAAACAGCAACCCAAAAGTCGTATACTTTATAACTGGCTCTCAAGATTTATTTTTTCGACGACAGATGACAGCTACCTTAGCCTGATAATTATGCTTAACGCATATTCAGAAGCATACAATGCAATAATGATAGAAAAATGGGAAAGTGTAAGTTACCTTTAGGTTTCCAAAAGTCCTAGATTCTTAGGCATTTAGATTTTTTGAAAACTTATTTGAGTGTAGTTTACTGTGGACGATCAGCTAATTGTTAAGAAAAATAACAGAGATTTTGATAACATTCCGTGAACAACTGAATAGATTTTCGAGTAATTTACAGTTACCCAAAATGTATTCAAGTATTGCGCGATTAGAAAGATTTCCACAGTTGGAAACGACAACTCTTTGGGTTTTACAAGATTTATTAGCTGTATTTAAGGAGAGGGTAAGAAACTAGTTTACTGAACTTTTAAGCTAATTGTAAATAATAGATATCCTTTAACCCGGACTACGTACTTTGGTACTTCCGAAGTCATATGTTAAAATTAATCATCGATCATATTAATGCCTGAAATCGAGTAGTTTAAATATTCGGATATTCCATTTATAAACAGATAAGGATATTAATTGCACAGTTCATCTCTCTTAGTTCAAACACAAACGAACTTACACCATTTTTAAGACGCAGATGGATGAGTGGAGAACAGCTGTTAACAGCAGTACACATTTTAGATCAGTCTAGAGCTTACAGATATTGTTTCGTAAACAAAAAAATACATTTCCGATTTTGATTCTCATTACTTTGATTACTATCAAAAATACAGTAAAACTTCTTATTGGAGTATGTGCTGATGATGTCAAGAAAGACAAGGAAAGCTCCATTGTTAAATAGTCCAGCTACAAAAAACCATCGAAATCCTTGTCCTGAACTATAAACATCGTCTATCATTTCAATATTACAATAAATTTTGGATGACCCAGCAATAATAATGAAATTCATTCGTAAGTGAACATACTTTAGATGCTAACAATAAGGCAGTTAAACTTAGATCCGCCATAGAATAACCCGAACTATTGGATAACCGCAAACTATGATGTAAACTATTATCATGAAATTCTACTTCTATACTTCCTCCAGAAGACTGATTTGAAGCATCATCCTCCGACTGATATTCAGCAGTGTCCCTGAACTGTGTCACGATACCAACTCTATTCCATACCATGAAACGTTCGCGAAAACCTGACGTTGGAAAAAGACAGATAAAAGATAAAACGCGATATTATAAAATCTAACGAAAAAAATCCAACCTATAACGTCACATATTTTGACTAATACATACAGTCAGTATTGATTGATGAAACAGCTTAGGGGGTCAGATACCTCAGCTTAACTTTACATTTTATCTAGAAAAAAAATAATACAGTAGTTCAGTCTCTTAAGATGACAGACTGAAATAAAGGTATTTGTTCGCGTGATTAATAACATGATCCAAGTTCCTTAGAGTATTATATGCTGTTTCTTTTTATAAGTAAATACTAAAAACAACATATGCTTATCAATGTAAAGCTGTCGTACTTGTTATCTGAAGTAGAAAACAAGATCTTTTTACACTATATTAAAGTCGAAAATCCACTAGTGACAGTTCACTTTTATCAAATCTCAATTTAATACAAAATATATAACATTATCAGTTTCTTTAGACAATTAGAAAACTGGTGATATGCATGTTTCATTGATATAATGATTCCGATTGTCATGTAGTTCCGAACTAAAGGCGTTTGGTCGTACCAATAAAATCAAAAGAATATGAAGATTAAAAAAATATTAAGTCGCTAGACGATTGATATTATTAATCTATGTATACGAGTATTTTTACAGTACTTGGTTTGAATCTAAACAGAAAAAAATAATCACATAACTATGTGAAGCTTCCACATATTGTGAGTTTTGAAATCAAACATATAAACAAATACATTTTATGCCACTGTTTGCCTAGATCCATAGAAACACCTAAGGACGGCATTTTCCTATGGCCACATTTTCTCAAACTACACAAAAAATACATATTGCTCACCAAGTGGTGTTGCACCTGACTGGAAAGCCTTCTGCAAAGGTTGGATTGTGACGTTATCCCTTTTAGGACAAATATTATCTTCTGTAGTAGGAACAGTCGCTTTGATATCTATTTTTGTAGGAGCTTGTTTCTCCTCACCTTCGTCATTGAGTGACATGTAATCGGACTTGATTCGAGATAGATCAATGGAATCAGAATTACTATCGTCTTCGTTTGAGTGGGGGATGACATCGTCATCAGCTAAAAGTCTGCTAGATTCTGCCTGAGCTGCAGCGGCACTTAAAAGATCTGCAGTATCACCATCTTCATCACAACCCATTAACTGAGCTATTCCATTCGGAGACAATGGATCTCTAGAAGAAGGCTTGAAGAATTAGAACGACAAAAAAACAGCACGGACAGATAATATACCATTTTAAATGTGTTAGTATAACGAAATCATAAAAAACATGGTCACGAGACCATGAGGTTCATTATGTACTTTCACGAGGAAGCGTTTGATATTAATCGAAATGATCCTTTTTGAGAATACACCACCAAACTCAAAACAAGTGTAGTTTGAATTCTACACATCGGAATAATAAAAACACGTTAAATTGATTATTACATTACTTAAAGTCATTTAAGGAACTTAAAACTTATGATGGGTAAACTATATGATTAACTGGAAAACTTAACAGTTAGAAAACCCCTACGACACGTTTCGAAAACGATCGCAATTGTACATATGCAGTTGTTCTAGATTTTTAAATGCTGGATGTTTAGTAGCCTTTATTGATTTTCTCTCTAACTAAGTAAACCCAATGTTTGTCTCAGCGTCTAACTTTTTTTCACCTATGATGCTAATCAAATATCTGTAGTTTGATTTTTTCGTTTTTTCGAGCCATGCTCCATAACCTCACGTAAATTCCTGCACTGCATCTTTATCTGATGATAGATATTCTTAATTTTCCTGTAACTGCTATTTAAGACATCATAGTGATAACAACTGTTATGAATGGGTCAAGATTTTACAAGCCCAAATTTAATGAGTTGCGAAGTAAATGGGGTAAGCAATACGCAAAACTATTTTACTACCAATACTTAAACAAAACACCAACGCAGACTAGTTTGGAACAATATTCTGGACACATATAAAATCGCCCCCAAACATTTTATCATTATCAACTAGGGTTACAAGAACGTATAATGTCGAAACCATTTCATTGGAACTTATGACAGTTTTCACCTTCTTGTGGTTATTGACATGGGTTTACATAGGTAGCTGATATTCAACATCTTTTATTTTGAAATTTATAAACTGCTGGAATGAATTTCGTTAGATCCAATACTGGCACCAATAATGTTTAATAAAATAAAAATAAATACCTGATGGTCTGGAGAGTGGACAAGTCCCACAGATCCATTTTCGTTCGCGAATAGAAGATTTTTGTCGAGAGGATGCCAAACTAAGCTACAAATCCGACTATGAGACGGATCACGAACACTATTAAGAAAAAATTTGAAAGTTATTAAGTATGTTAATTCCGAATAGCACTGAAAAGTCAGGAAACAAATTTCGAGTAAATATTCAGTGATTACTAAACATACCGACGTAGTATCGTGAGGTGGATAACAATCAAGCATTTAAAAAAACGTAACCAACTAGAAGGAAACACCACGTGGATAACTTTGAACACGAAACCTGCTCTGATCGAACGACCCGAGTCCACAAGGTCAATAATAAGGCTTATTATCGATCTATTTGCATTTCTCTCCGACCATGTTGGATAACGTGGGTCACATCTTCGCCTAATCCTAGGCATGTTTGGATCCCTTTACAAACGTGGAACAAAATGGCGGAGATTACCGGTAACCACTTATATATATCTGCGTAAGAAGTAATTTAACTGCTAATTTTGTTTGGATACGGACCACAGCTATGAACAATGGATTCAAAGCGCCGAAACTCATCGTTGGAAACTGAGTTAAGACTACTTGTCTTAAAGCAGTTATTCAAATAAGTAACTCGGCAATCATAGGTCTACCAGTCCAGCAACGTTACGGTATACGTTTACTGTGACAGCCAACAATAATATATAACTTAAATGCAATGAGAAACTGACCATAATTTATGATCGAATCAATCACATTTAAGATAGATCTTGAAGCGAAATTCGTTCACTCGTTTGGCCAAATACCATTTTGGCATTATAGATGGTGTTAGTCCGTGATGAAAACATTAAATCTAATCCCTGACCCTAACATTCAACTGTAAATCCTAGTCTTAATTCCTCACACTAATATATAACCCTTATTTAACCCTGGTAAGTAGGTGAACGCTCCAATGTCCTTTTAGCGTTACTCAATGGTCGCCCATAAACTAGTCTAACCAAGATTTTAATAGATATATCAAACACATGAAATATCTTACCGATGAATTGCTTGCCTGTCTTCAACACGCCAAACAATAATCCACCCATCTAAAGATCCACCTGAAATAAGATTGCCATCCCGTGAAGAAGCGCATACATTGTATGCATGAGTGACTGAAGGGCAGGATAGGGAGCAAAGTAAACTCCAGCACGCTCGTTCAAACATTTTGATTTCTTTATCAACCGGCACAAGTAAAAACTGATAAATCAAAAATGAATGGAAACGGACAAACCTTCCCAACTGTGCTCTCCCAGCATAATCTACAGGAACTTGGAGCGAAGAGAGGATCATGACATTTCGCAAGCGTAGAAATACACTTTGTTTCCTTTCCAATTACCAAATCCCAGAGACGGACACTGCCATCACATGAAGCAGAAGCTATGAATACATCGAGAGGATCAAAAGCCACACTTAGGACAGCTCCTTGATGTCCCTTGAAAACCGATTCCCGGTCATTATCGTGACCCGAAAGATCCACAACCTTGACTGAGAAATCACTACTAATATAAACCAAGTGAAGCGATATCCTACCTACTGCACAAAACTATCTTACTAAGGTCTTTGTTCATAGCTAAATGATTGACTTCTGCGGTAAAACGGGTAGCCACTCCATCAGGAAGACCATCTTCCATCTGAAGAATGTGGACGTAAGTTCCCTCGGTAGCAACAATGACATTTTCATACTATTCCGAAATTAAAATAATTGTTTAATACCTACTCGGCAAGCAATAGCATTGATTTTTTCTCCAACGATGTGTTCCACTGGACAGGCGTCATCAAGCGACTCGAAGACTTTGATTTTCCCATCTGATCCACCAGTAACTATATGGCTGAAGAACATTACATACGGCTAAAATACAGAGCCTTACCGTCCATAAACATCATAAACTGCCGAAGTTAACCCCTTCCTATGGACATTGACAGGCCCCTTCGTTATAGACATCAAAACAACATCAATTACCCCGCCGAATGAAGGTTTGCTAAATAGTGTTGCAGCCAAACGGAACTTCAAGCCTCAAATGGTTCAAATGGTTGTGGACAGAATAGAAGAAACTTTCGCTTAACAGGCTTCCGTGTCTAGTAGCAGGGGACCACCAATACCTCCAGGCAAGAACCTAGGTATGTTAACGATAAAAGAGACAAAAAAAATAAATTGGTAAATCATAGTAAGATATTATCCTTAATCCTTAAAAATAGATCAAGTCGCCTCTTAAAGGACTCCTGTGAATGCGCTTGGACTAGCTCAGCTGGCAGCTAATTCCAGAATTTGACAACTCTTAAGGAGTAGAAGTTTTGCCTGCAGTCCGTTTCACTATGTTGTATCTCTAATTTCTGGGTATTACCCCTTAGCTTAGTGTTGGGACTAAGCTTAAGTAGATGTTTAAGAGGATGTCCAGAAGTGTCAAGGATACTGTAAGCAATTAGAAGGTCACCTCTAAGACGCCTATACTCTAATAAGTAAAGGTCGAGTGATTGGAGGCGCTCATCGTAAGGTTTAAATTTGAGTCCCCGAACTGATTTCGTGGCTCACCGTTGGATACGCTCCAGAGTGTCCTTATCCATTTGGAGTGTAGGAGGAAATACTATGTTTCCGTACTCTAAATGGGGACGAATGAAACTATTGAAGATTATGTGGAAAATTCTCCCGTCAAACTGACCAAAAATGCGCTTCAATGTTACCAGTGCAAGGTTCGCTCGAAAGGCATTTCTGTCACAGTTGGCGTAAGATTTTAAGTCGTAGGGCACCAGGACTCCTTAATGTTTTTCGTCTAGGGATACTACTAGAAAGGAGTTTCCTAAGTTGTAACTGTAATCTGCGACGTGTCGCAGATGGACTACTTTACACTTTGAAGTGTTAAAGGTGAGTCCGTTATCGTCTGCCCAACTTTGAAGTCCAGTCAGATCCTCCTGAAGTGCCTGTGTGTCTTCTTGGTTCCGTATCTCTCTCCAAAGTTTCATGTCATCGGCAAAGAGCAATAAGTCTGACGTTACCTGTTGAGGAATATCATTTATATAAATCAGGAAGAGAAGTGGTCCTAGTACTGAGCCTTGGGGGACCCCACTAGGACATTCCAGAGCGTGTGAGAAATTGAAGTTTATCCTGGCCTTGAAATGTCGATTTGTCAGATATGAACTGAGCCAGTCTGAGCTTGTTGATAGGGCATATGTGATTAACCCTATCAAAAGCTTTAGGGAAATCAAGGTAAATTATATCAACCTTCCCCTTGCGATTGAGGGTGCTTGTCCATCTGTTCACCGCAGTCAGCAGATTGGTCATACAAGAGTAAACCTTCCTGAAAACATGCTGCTGGGCAGAGAAGCTGAATACGGGAGAGATGCTGCTATACTCCGGTCAAGAAGAGGAAAATGCTCCACACACTCAGGGAGTTGCTCTAATGCTGTCCAAAGTAGCACGAAATGCACTTGCACGATGGGAATCTCACTGATCCAGAATCATCAAAACATCACTCAAAACAAAGAAGGAGGGGATCACAATGAATATTATCCAATGTTATGCACATACCAAAGATAGAAACGACGACATTAAACATCAATTCTATGAGAGGATGCAATCAATCATAGAGAAGTACCCAAGAAAGGACCTCACCATTCTGATGGGAGATCTAAACGCCAAAGTCGGAATGGACAACACCGGATATGAAGATATCATGGGACTACATGGACTGGGAGAGCGAAACGAAGACGGGGAAAAATCTGCAAATCTGTGTGCATTCAACAAATCGGTCATAGGCAGCACAATATTTCCACACAAACGTATACACAAAGCTATATTGATCTCACCGGACCACACCACAGAGAACCAGATAGATCATATTTGCATCAGTAAAAAGTTCCGAAGGACAATGGAAGATGTGAGAACCAGGAGAGGAGCGGACATAGCTTCAGATCACCACCTGGTTGTGGCCAATTTGAAACTGAAGCTAAAGAAGAACTGGACAACTGGACAAACAGCACCACAAAGGTTCAATACAGCCTTCCTTCGAGATACTGACAAACTCAATGAATTCAAGATAGCTCTCAACAACATGTTCCAAGCCTTACAGTATCTATTGAACGAAGAAGAAACTACGATGGAGGATAACTGGAAAGGCGTCAAAGAAGCATTAACTTCAACGTGTGAAGAGGTTCTGGGCCCCAAGAAGCATCATCATAAGGAATGGATCTCTATAGAAACACTGGACCGGATCAAAGAAATGAAGAACAGGATGACAGCAATCAACAACAGTCGAATACGAGCAGAGAAAGTCCAAGCACAAACTGAGTACATAGAAGCAAGTAAGCAAGTGAAGAAGAGCATTAGAGCTGACAAGTAGAAATACGTGGAAGAACTAGGAACGACAGTGGAAGAAGCTGCAAGAGAAGGAAATATGAAACAACGAAGAAGCTAGCAGGGAAATATAGTAAACCAGAGAGACCGGTCAAAGACAACGAAGGCAGGCCAATCACTGAAATTCAATAACAGCGGAACAGATGGGCAGAGTACTTCGAGGAACTCCTGAGTAGGCTGGCTCCGATAAATCCACCGGAAATCAAAGCAGCACACACAGATCTTCCTGTAGATGTCAATCCACCAACGACCGAAGAAATCAGAATGGCCGTCAGACAAATCAAGAGCGGGCAAGCAGGAGGGCCCGACAATATACCAGATGAAGCACTGAAGTCAGACATCAAAGTAACTACGAACACGCTTCATCTATTATTCAAGAAGATTTGGGAGGAGGAACAAGTGCCGATGGACTGGAAAGAAGGACACCTCATCAAGATTCCAAAGAAAGGAGATCTGAGTAAGTGTGAAAACTACAGAGGTATTACACTACTGTCAGTACCAGGAAAAGTCTTCAACAGAGTGTTACTGAACAGGATGAAAGACGCAGTAGACGCTCAACTTCGAGATCAACAAGCTGGATTCCGTAAGGATCGGTCGTGCACAGACCAGGTTGCGACACTACGGATCATCGTCGAACAATCAGTTGAGTGGAACTCGTCACTGTACACCAACTTCATTTATTATGAATACATTTAACAGTGTAGATAGGAGAACATTGTGGAAACTTCTTCGACAATATGGAGTTCCTGAGAAGATTGTCAATATTATCCGGAACTCATACGACGGACTACAGTGCAAAGTAGTGCATGGAGGACAGCTGACAGATGCACTCCGAGTAAGGATCAGAGTAAGACAATGCTGTCTACTCGCTTCCTTCCTTTTGCTTCCGGTGGTCGACTGGATTACGAAGACCTCGACATCTGAGGGAAAACACAACATACAATGGACAGCTCAGAACCAATTGGACGATTTGGACTTTGCAAATGACCTAGCCATCCTATCGCATACAAACGAACAAATGCAGATAGAGACAGCCAGCGTGGCAGCAGTCTCTGTATCAGTAGGCCTCAACATGCACAAAGGGAAAACAAAGGTCCTCAAATGCAACACGGAGAACAGCAATCCAATCACTCTTGATGGCGAAACTCTGGAAGATGTGGAATCCTTCACATACCTGGGAAGCATCGTCGGTAAACAAGGAGGTTCAGATGCAGACGTAGAGGCGAGGATTGGCAAAGCAAGGGTCACATTCCTCCAATTGACAAACATATGGAACTCAAAACAACTTTCAATCAATATCAAAGTCAGAATCTTCAATACGAACGTCAAGGCAGTTCTACTGTACGGAGCTGAAACTTGGAGAACTACAACAACCACCATCAAGAAGGTACAGGTATTTATTAATAGCTGTCTACACATGATACTCAACATCCATTGGCCGGATATCATCAGCAACAGACTTTTGTGGGAGAGAGCAAACCAGCTTCCAGCTGAAGAGGAAATTAGGAAAAGACGATGGAAATGGATAGGACATACATTGAGGAAATCATCAAACTGCATTACGAGGCAAGTGCTAACTTGAAATCCTGAAGGAAAGCGGGAAAGAGGAAGGCCAAAGAACATATTACGTCGGGAAATAGAGGCGGATATGAAAAGGATGAATAAGAACTGGAAAGGATTGCGCAGAACATGGTTGAATGAAGAATGCTGGTGAGCGACCTATGCTCCTTTGCGAGGAGTAACGGGCGTAAGTAAGTAAGTGCAGTACAATAGCCGCCAAAAGTGTTAATACTTTATGGTCAATACGTAAGTCCTTTAGTCACGTCTATGTTAAAATGTTTTTGACTGTGTATACAATGTTCGTGGGTCCTAAACTTGAGTATTGCATACAAGCGTCTCACCACTGATCAAAAAAAGACAGTGAATTTTTGAAAAAGGTTCAGGAAACAGTAGCTAATCTTATTCTCGGTATAGCGACTATTTGACTGGCCATACTAAATGTATTCCCGTTGTCATATAGAAGAACTAGAAGCGACATGGTTACAATATTTCAATTGCTTAGTGATAAATTTGCACCTGATATGCCCTTATTTTCTTGTCTGCCAGAACGGAATGTTTACGGGGGCGTTCCAAAAAAGATCGCGAGCCCAGAACAAATTATTTGTCAGCTGACTATCGACTTTCCTATCGAATCATCTACGAGTGGAATTCATTACCTCAACATGTGATCAAAGCTACATCTGTCGATGCTTTCAAAAACAGTTGTATTGACTGAAAGGCCATCATTGCTAGGACTAACACAGGCCATATAGTCCCCCGTCCTTTCCAAAGTGAACTGATATTGAACTACAAGAACGATAGCGTTTTGCTCTACGCCTGACTAAGGCATTACAAAAGTTTGCATATGCCTTGTTGGCTAGTTTTTGACGATCAGACGTTCACTGCAGTGTCCTACTTTTGTTATTTTTATGCTGAAAACCACCTTATAGACATGTGATGATTTTAAACCAGCTGATTGAAACTAATCTGTCTATAACAATTCGAATTTTCCCCTAAGTTAACGCTTTGTTTCTCATTATCCTCCTTTCCTGGTTGCTTGGGTATTAATAGTTCTGTGGCATTTTGAGATTAGCTTTCAACGTAGATATTGGTCTTTGGTTTCTAATTCCTGTATTCACTGAAGGGTGGTAATTATGGTCTTCACTTAACGTTTATTTCGAGCTCCTAATTTCGGGGTAAATATGATCCATTTTGGTCAAGCCGATATAGTAAACTTTAGGGAAATGGCACCAAAACCTAAAACTTTCTCCAGATCTGGGGGAAATTCCCCAATATTTCCCCTTTAACCTTGGTGGAGGTCATTAGACTTTGGCGGCTTCCCCAAACTTTGGGGGCTGGGGTGCTTTTGATATTTCAGCAAACCTTTTAAATATTCGTAATGCTGTATCTGGCAGCTTGTTTTGTGACTCTCTTTAGATAGTATTAGCTCTACTAAATTCACGTTCATCATAATGGGCTACCCTATGGGGTAAACAATATGAAATCTTAAGATTATATATTGTCTAAGATTCACAATTGTGAATCCTACTTACACATTTTGCAATAAGTAAGACAATGGAGTAAGGTCTATATCGTCGCTAAATTCGGGAAGATTCCGGCATTGGTTTATAGGCAATAATACGTACTTTCTAATCCCTCATTATTAAACAGAGAACTTATTCAGTCCCAGAAGCATCATCTCACCGGTCCGTTTTTTTTCCTGTAGTAACTAAAAATTAATGTCAATTCGATTGCTGTGACTTAAACTAGCAAAATAACGTTTACGTCCAGGCTATTAAGAACAGATTTTCGAAAAGGGCAAAAGCTAAATATGGTAGGCCTTTCTTAGTTGAACCTAATTTCACAACTCGGTGAATCAAATCTAGAGTGACTGGTTTTAACTTGTATAGTACATATGTCTGTCTAATTTTTGGTGTGTGCGAAATTTTTCTACACCGATCGTTAAAAACAAGTTATTACCCACAATATAACGTCACATTCATACATAGGAAACGCAACACAAATACGCGACCAAGTATTTTGTCATCTTAGCTAATAATCCATGTTGTCCGGCTTGATAAAATATATCAACGTCGCAAAATTTAACTAGTAGTTTGGAGCTAAGTGTCATATCACAAATGACATTTGTAAGGCCGGATACAACTGCCGAGAGAGTCAGGAGCAACACTAACAATTAATAATAACAAGAGGGAAGAAAGTAATAAGACAGTGGTAATGAACAGTAAGAAGAGAACTTTGAAAGTCTGTTCCAAACCAAGTTATCTACAAAATAAAACTAACGTGTCACTAACTCGAAAGACGTCTGTCTGGATATGGTCCGACGTGATATTCTTGAGAACACTTGCTTATTGTACTGCTGACTAATAGTTCCTTCCCCTTACATAATTTTTCACCTAGTAACTTTAAAATCGTCGTTTATCCTTATCGACGTTATTTCTCATGAATATATATATATATATATATATATATATATATATATATATTCAGACATCACTTGAATGTACAAGCGTGACAATATTATTAGCTAATTAATGTATAAATATTCTATTCTGAATGAAATACTGAACTCATTGCTTTTTATATTGATCTGCAGACGGTGATATATCAAGATAATGAACTTAAATTCTGAGGGTTATTACTGTGTTTTGACTTTCCTTTAACCAGTTTAGCGTACAATGACATCTGAACACATTGGAGTTGTTGATGCTCTCCCCTACTTCGACAAAGGATATGATGATCCTGGGATTAGAGAAGCTGCAGCTCTTTTAGTCGAAGAGGAGATGAAACGATATAGACCAACAAAAAATTATCTGGAACATCTCCCTTCTTTATCTGGTCCCATTCAGATGAAGTTTGAAACTGAGGTGATGAAAGCTGAATTTGACAGGCTCTCTAATCGTTTGCCTATGGAAATGCTAAGTATGAAACGTTACGAACTACCCCCACCTCCGGCTGGAAAAATGACCGATGTGAAAGCATGGCAAGACGCAATGGAAAATGCTGAAGTATGATGTCTTTATATCTAATTTGTTTTTCAAATAGGCACAGTTAGAACACCAAGCAACAAGAATTGAGAATTTAGAACTAATGGCAGATTATGGATGTAATGCTTGGAAGCAATACAACAATGTTTTGGAAAGCTCTCTGCAAATTTACGAAAAGGAGCTCTTAGAAATAAGGTAGTTTGTGATTCTCCATGACTAAAACCAGCTTACTCGTCTTCGACAGCTAATTATATATGTGCACCGTTTCCATATCCATCCAACACAACATACAGGAAGCGAGTAAGAATTAGATGCTTAATAAAAAAGCTTAAATAACAAACAGATGGAAAGTTCGCCTTGTAGACAAAATTTGATGTGGCTCTTTGTTGCTGTGCGAATGCCTGTGTCTGATGCTGAAATAAGGTAGTTGACAGAGGTCCCTTATTTTGTCTCTTGTGGTCAAACCTTGAGAGACAAATTCATAATAACCCTGCAATCATGACCAGGGTTACCCTCTAGGTTATGAAATGTTTATTTCATCAGGATTAATGGTATTATATGGCTGTCTTAGATATCTTAGTGGAGTAAAGGTTTCGTCTTCCCTGTAGTATTAAGAATATACAGTTTCTAGAACCAACCTTTACCAATCTCTAATTATCCGAAACAGAATGTTCCCACCGCTGGAAATGCTTATTATATGAGCACAAGACATTGTTCATTCAGTATTAGGAAACAACTCTTGGACCTTCGTTACAGTAAAGTTGGTCACATCGTGGTTTTTTAAATTTTCATTGAAGTTTTACACTTGGCAAGTTTACGTTCGTCCGATAAGTTGTTACTCAAAATGTTAGTGTTATAACGCTCGGTACTACTTCGTATAATGTTATAACGCTCAAACAATTATCTACACTAGATCCCTCCCAGTGTCTATTCTACAGGACGTCAACACAACTCAGATCAAGAACACGTAATCAGCCTGATCACAACGTGAATATATTTTCACACCCGAAACCGACACAATCCACAACAATGAACAATCAATAATAAATGTGTGTCACAATAATGAGGATAAGGGAATGTATAACTTATCTGGCACTTGTCAGACTGTCTACATGTCTGACTAAGCAGACAACCAATCATGATCATTCTCGCCCGCACATCAGTTAGCTAAAAGATTTTTTAGTTCTTCTTGATTCATTTAGTTTCGTTTTGCTTTTTAAAAGGCGAAAAATCCAGGAAATAAACTGGCGCCGCAAACAAGAGCAAACAGCTGCTGGAAGACATCTCAAGGAATTAGAAGAATCGTGGGTCGGTTTGGTTGGCAAAAACTACGAAATTGAGCAAGCCATATTAGAACTAGAACAGGAACTAGGTGTATTTTCAGAACCAATGGATAGTGAAGATCAGTGAAGTTGTATATCCATGCATATTAATATATATGTAAAAAGTAGTCACTCTGGCGTTTCACTTAATCGTAATCACAATCTAGTTATGATGAGACGACAATTAAAAAAACGGCGGGATCACCTAAAGTGACCAAAATGATACTTCGCTCATAGGACCAATCTTTAAATCACAAACGCGTATATTTTAGAATACAGTAGCACTAGCCGAGTATTTGAACTAATATAAGGGGATTCAAGTTGTTACTTTTTTCACGAAATACCTAACCAAAATAGTATGATCTTCCATTTAACAAACGGTCAGTCGATGATGGAGATACAGGTCGCGAAGTAACCATTTCTACTAACTGTATCGTGATTTTATATTTCCACTACATATTTCACATCAATATTGCAAGCGACAGTCAGTGACGGTAGTTGTCGAGACAAAGTATTGCTTTCGTAATATACAATAGATAAACGTAGGATCTGTTACAGTTGTGTATTGCTTTAATTATTCACAACCGACGTTACATCAGGAAGAAACCACTTAGGAAAGCAGGTTATTGAAAACAATAGAACTAACGGGGTGTTAAACCCCCTTTGTGTATTTAAAAGCAGTTTGTTCTCACCTTAAACTTACTCTAGTAATATTCACTTATTATCCAGAGTGATGACGTTTCAAATTGTTTTCGCATTACTTTTTTATTATCCCTCCATTTACGGTCTAGTTGACCTTTTATTTTTATATATACACGATCTTAACAAATATATGTGTGATCAGATTGTTCGAAATGTATTGCGCTAATATATCTTTATTATTTATTTATTTTAACACATAGATATTGGTATAAGGAGGCACCAAATATATATGCGCCACACAGATCTCATTTGATATGTGTGAAGGCTGTGATACTGCCCCGGTTCCCAAACGGAAGCAGGTGGTTTTCTTAGGGGGCCACACCCCAAGCCTTCGACCTGAAGGTCTAACCCACAAGGCAGTCGAGCATCGTGAGGAGATGCAGTCCATGGAAGCCGATGACCAAGAAATTGGTTCATACGCCATTTGTTCCTTCAGGATACTGGAGCCCATGTGCACCATTGGTTTGGAATCCGGTCAAAGCGCCAGACATTCGCTTTTCGTCCTCTCATTTTCGTAAACAACACCCCCGCCACGAGAAGGCAGTGAGTAGGACTTCCCTGGCAGAGGCTATGTACGCGTGGGCATGTGAGAGCGTTTCGAGAGGGAGAGCGGACTCTCCCCACTCTCGGCCGTACCTGGGCATTTGGAGGCGCTAATATATCACATAGTTCTGATGATCTTCGTCCTATTACACTATCGAAATTTTTTAGAAAAAGAGTAGAAGGGAATGAATAAAAAGTAAGGAAGTACCTTTATGAGGTAGCCCAGACGTCGCCCCCAAATGCCCTGGTACGGCCGAGAGTGGGGGGAGTCAGCTCCCCCTCTCGAAACGCTCTCACATGCCCACGCGTATACAGCCTCTGCCAGGGAAGTCCTACTCACTGCCTTCTCGTGGCGGGGGTGTTGTTTACGAAAATGAGAGGACGAAAAGCGAACGTCCGGCGCTATAACCGGATCCCAATTCTATGGTGCACATGGGCTCCAGTATCCTGCGGGAACAAATGGCGTATGAACCAATCGTTGGTCACCGACTACCATGGGACTGCATCTCCTCACGATGCTCCACTGCCTTGTGGATCAGATCTTCAGGTCAAAGGCTCGGGGTGTGGCCCCCTAAGAAAACCACCTGCTTCCGTTTGGGCACCCGGGCAGTATCACAGTCCTCACACATATCCAATGAGATCTGTGTGGCGCATATGTATTTGGTGCCTTCTTGTACCGATATTTATGTGTTAAAATAAATAATAATAAAGCCCAGACGTCACAGTCACCTAAATTGCTCCAGCTAGTGAATTTGTTTTGTAGACGAAAAGTTTACGGATTAAGGATTTGAAGGCAGGATGGTCAGCACATAAACCAGGCTCTTACTGGGAATTTCAGTATTGCCAATATACAACAACAACAAAATGATATATATTATTCTGATTGAAAGCACTTCGAAATTCTAGAGCCTAACTAGTTTTATTATTCTAATACCTTGTTTTTGGACACCCCTCGATAATACATTTAAAGTATCATCCCGATTAACGACTAAAGGTCTGTGTAAACAGCCTCAGAGACCATAAAAGGAAGCATAATTGCTTTCCATATAAATTAACCAAAATTATCCCAACAGAAAGTAACCGAAGTAAACTAGATTTGGGATGAATTCATTATGTCGAGACGACTTCTAGTGTATTAATTTTCCATCAATAATCTGCATATACCAACAAAATAATGATAAAGATTACCTAAACAAGCTGTCCACACGTTAAGATCTTTATGTCAAAAGACTTCCTTGAGTTATAACTACATTTAAAAATGGATTTCCTATGGGTCATAATCTTACTGTTTTCTCTCGACTGTAGCTGCTACCTTGATTTGGTGATCGGGCTTGCCTACCGTGATGACTCAACTGACGTATGTTGGCTGAAACACGTTTTCCTTTAGGTCCTGACATGTCAGACAGGTCGGTTGGAGGACGGTGAGACTAAAAGTAGCAACTAAAGGTTCGAGGGTGAAGTCGTAAGACTTCCTGTAGAGGATATAATAGCAGCAACGTGTTTCCCTCGCACAACCAGCATCTACAGAAATGCTACCTTCTCACGATGGAAGGGTTGGGTTAGTAAAGACCGACCCTACCTTGCCCCACGGATCTCCATCTACGGCGTTTAGACCTCTAGAAGTGCGGAGCCAACGCATCAAAAACTTCCTATAAAAAGGCTGTGCGCGACTGGCCTCAAGTAATTGTTCCTTGAACTCGGAAGTTACGCTCCCAGGTTTCTAAAACCACACTCATCTTTCTCAGGTTCCTCAGGAAGAAATATCCTTCTATGGGGTGGACAATCGGGAAGAGACATTCGCCCTCATACATCTATCAACACTCAAGATCATCTTGTTAACGGTCGAATCCCTCCCTCACCTCTCAATAGAGCCTGCGTTTTACGATACCGCGGTCCTGCTAATGCAAGTATAGAATTAAGTTCAAAGTAGAATAGGTTCTCATAGACTGGATTCCAATGAACTGTCGCTCGTGCACTTTTCGACTAAACGGGACAGCGAGAACTCGAAAAAATGGGGACACTGCTGTCTTTTCATTGTCTCTGTCTACGCTTCTACTTATTCCTGCTCAGATGAAATTAAAAATGAATTTTATGGGAAGCTCCTTCAAAATGCTGGACGCCGAAATGTAGTAATAGTGGTGGTTGATTTCAGCGCTTAAGTAGGTAAACTAAAGCATATTGAGAGTCACTTAGGTAGAGCTTATGGTGCTTCGGCCCAGTGAACAGATAACGGCGAGCGTCTGTTGCAACTATGCTTAAACAACCGTCTATTTCTGGCGTTGTCTGACGTGGCGACCTCCACAATCGACTCATCGATGATTTAAAATAGGTCACGCTGCCATAAGCCATCGTTGAATAGGTTTGATTGTAGACTTACCCATTATGGAGCACCCACTATGGAGCTCTAGTTTGAGCACAAACTTGTCTGAGCCTTACTGGATATAGAAACGCCACAGCAAGGAAACCCCTTTAAGTTCAACTTAATGACGAAAAGCTAAAAATATATTTCAGGAGCAACTAGATAAAGAGCTAGTCAATCGTGGAAATGATATCCATCACGATGTAACTCAGTATGATATCCGAAAAGCTGTGGAAACAGCAATGACAAATACTAGTAACCTAAACCAAGAGGTTGGGAAAAATCATGGGATTTCAGTGGCGTCTAAAGAAATCAGGCTTTAGACACGATGAGCGGATGCAGCTTAAACGAGGGCTGACCAAAAGCCTACGTAATGATCGTGAGCAGTGTTGGGTAGTGAAGGCACAAGAGATGGAAAAGGCAGCAACGATAGGTCACGGTAAACATTTTTTCAGATTTGTCAAGAAAACGGGTATTAAGAATCCTGTTGCTAGTAAAACTATCTGAAAAAAAGACAGGGCTATTATTCACCTTCAATTCAGGAGATTGAACCGATGGACAGAACAGTTTAGCTGGCCTTCAGTTACCCACTATCTCCAAGTAACCTGACAGACGGACTGATGTAAGCCCTCTAAATCTTGGTGCAGTTGAAAAGGCTATGAGTGGTCTAAAGCTAAGGAGAGCACCAGGGCCTCATGGACTAACCCCTGAGACTTTCAAGGATGGTGGTCCGGTCTTAGCAGTTACACTAACTGAAACCTTAGCTAAAATCTGGGAACTGGACGTAACGCCATCTGACTTGTCTCGATCACTGATCGTTTCCGTTTATAAAGACAAAAAACCTGTGACAATTACAGAGGCATCACTTTACCGAATATAGTGTCTAAAACATTAGCTTCAATAACATTTTGACGTCTGAATAAAGCTCGTAAAGAACAAACCCAAGAAAACCAGGCTAATTTAAGAAGTGGACGTGGATGCTTAGACCAAATATTCACTCATCGGCGGGTTACGGAGCATAGACATACTTTCCGACGTTTGACCTTGAGACGGAGTACGATCCCATTGATCGCGAGGTTCCATGTTAGTGTTTGTCATTGAAAGGTGTACCAAAGAAGTGCATTAACAATGTACAGGCTCTCAACTCGGACACTACTGGTCGAGTACAACTTATAGGGAACCGTCATCGGAATCGGTTACCTAAAGTAGTATTCGTCAGAGACATGCTTTTAAGGATAACACCCATCGTCCGACTTTCCAGGGATTGATCTACCAGGAGATTTACTTGTCGACTTACAATATGCAGATTACACAGTTTTGTTTGGTGAGGACGCTGACAAAGTGCGAAGTCATCTGACCACCTTAAGCAACAATCCACGCAAGTCAGTCATCTACAACGTAGGTCCAGGCATATATATGTATCGATCCAAGTTGCCATACTTTGTTAGCCCAACAAAATGAGCACCAACATCATACTCCTATGATAGTAATATATAGAAAAAGATTACATATAAGGATATGATACCTGGATAAAGAATTAGTTCAGGCCCCCAAATGCCTTTGTATGTTCGAGGGTGGGGACAGTCAGCTCTCTCTCTCAAAATGCTCTCACATGGCCACACATATACAGCTACTGCCAGTGAAGTCCAACTCACTGCCTTCTCGCGACGCTGTTGTTTACGAAATTGAGAGGATGAAAAGCGTATGACCGGCGCTTTAACCAGGCTGGTGGACACGGAGGATCGACCTAGAGGAGTTGGGAAACCCTGATCCCGAACCAATGGTGCTCATAGGCTCCAAGATCCTGAAGGAACAAATGACGTATGAACCAATCGTTGGTCACCGGCGACTATGAGACTGCATCTCCTGACGTTGCCCCACTGCTTTGTGGATCAGACGTTTAAGTCGAAGACTTGGGATGTGGCCCCTAGAAGAAACCATTTGCTTCGGTCTGGGCACCGGGGCAGTATCACAGCCTACACACAATCCAAGTGACTTGTGTAGCGCATGTGTATTCGGTGCCCTTTTGTACCGAATTTATGTATTCAAATAAATAATTAGTTCGTAGAAATAAATGTATCAAGTAATTTTAATCTCACAGTTTAAGGGAAGACGAAGAGTGTATGCACCTGCGCGATTGTGATTGATTTTGAGCCACGTCATCCAGAGCCTCCAAATGCTGGTTACAATAGTCGCCCGGACCACATCCAAGTTGTTTGCATCTACCAATATGGCTCAGATCAGAAGTTAGTGACTTTATAGATGATCAAGACTAGA